CAATCTCCCTCGCAAAAAAAAAAAAAAAAAAAAAAAAAAACTTTACAAGAAAGTACATAAACGGGTGAAACTAAACAGACAGTAAAACTGTTAGTAGTTAATAGTTGTGTGCAGTATAATAAACATAACATGGAAAAATTTTGGTAATGTAACTAATTTGTATGATAATATCATGGTGGATAATTTATAGGTTTGTCAAAAGTCAAAGAACTGTGTAACACATACAGTGAACATCAATGTAAATTATAGATTTTCATTAATGATTGTATCCGTTATAATGAATGCTCTCATGCTACTGGAATATATTAAGAATAAAACGAATTATGCAAGGGCATGGAGGGAGAAGATTAGAACTCTGAACAATCTGCTCAATTTTCTGTAAATCTAAAGCATTGCATTCATTATATATTTTTTGGATATTTATTTCAAAGGAGGGGGTCAAGCAAGGTGACATGTTCAGAGAAAATGACATGCAAGAAGTCAGACTTTAACAGTGTCTTAAGGACACATAAGATTTCCAGATTTGGGGCTGGATAGATGACTCAGTGGTTAAGAGCATTGCCTGCTCTTCCAAAGGTCCTGAGTTCAGTTCCCAGCAACCACATGGTGGCTCACAACCATCTGTAATGAGGTCTGGTGTCCTCTTCTGGCCTGCAGACATACACACAGACAGAATATTGAATACATAATAAATAAATAAATATTTTTTAAAAAGATTTCCAGATTTGAAAAAAACAGAAGACATTTCAACTGGGATTGAGAAATGAAAAAGGCGTAGGGGACTCAAGTTACAAACCCATGAAATATAAATGAAATCAATGCAGAGAAAACAGACACTTATTTAATGGAAGATAGGGGCCAAAGTGGGGAGGTGATGGAGGGAGGTCATTGGCTAATAAAGAAACTGCCTTGGCCCATTTTATAGGTTAGAACATAGGTGGGTGGAGTAAACAGAACAGAATGCTGGGAGGAAGAGGAAGTGAGCTCAGACTCGATAGCTCTGCTCTCTGGAGCAGACGCGATGAAGCTCCGACCCAGGATGGACGTAGGCTAGAATCTTCCCAGTAAGCACACCTTGGGGTGCTACACACATTATTAGAAATGGGCTAGTCCAGGTGCGAGAGTTAGCCGAGAAAAGGCTAGATATAATGGGCCAAGCAGTGTTTAAAAGAATACAATTTGTGTGTTGTTATTTTGGGGTATAAGCTAGCCAGGCAGCCAGGAACCAGGCTGTGGGAAGAGGCCCACAGCCCTTACTACAGGGAGGGGCAAAAGTTCTGAAATATAGGTATGGGAGCAATTTTAATTCATGCCGAGTCTTGATTATGTATTCATTCATTCGCTTACTCATTCATTCAATAAATATTTAAAGACCATCTACTATGTTCCAGACATTGGTGACACAAGCAGGTTTTTTTTTTCTTGTTAAGTTTACGTTCTAGAGAAAAAAAAAGGCTAATAACTTGCCTGGTATTTTCAAGACACCAGAAAACATGTCATAGCTAGGCAGTGAAATTTAGCATGTAAGAAGGAAGGGATAAAAGGTATCAGATTATGTAGAATACTTGAATAAATAATAACTTTAGGTTTTACCAAAGAAATTTTATGTGGGACCCATTGGTGTGTTTTGAATGGCAGAGTGACAGATATGACACATAAGCAGGAGTATTGTTTCATCTGGTAAATTAATAAAAAGAAGATAAAAAAGGTTCCAGGAAACCAGGTGAAAGAATGAAACTTGGAGAATGTGCATTTAGTAAGAAATAGATTCTCAACTCTGGAAGAATTTGGTGTGTGATTGGGTCTGAGAGAAATCTAAGTCAAAATGACACAGTTTGCACAACTCAGGTCATTAAGACCAGAGAGGTAAGAGAAGGATCATAATTAGGGCTAAACTGTCTTGCAAGGGGGAATTTCAAAATCAAGGCATCAGAGTGAGACTGATTGAGACAACACGTCAAGAAGGGAAAATCCCAGTGAGAGCTGTAGGGTACAACTCAATCTCAGAAATAAAAAAAGAAAAAAGAAGACAAAGCCATAACATATCCAAGTAGTGAGGAAATAACAAACATTTCATCTCCCTAAAGTACAAGGGCAAGGAAGACAAGTTTCTGCCTAGATAGTAGTAACAGCCCAGTGAATAAATGTAAATAAATAATTCTAGTTCCATATATAGGGCAGTAAAATAGTAAGCATTTTATTTAGTAAATAGTAAGCATTCAGTACCTGATGCATAAGCAGTACAAAAAAGGAAACAGGAAGTACATGCAGAAGTCTGTAAGAGCACATACACAAAGTTCATTCCAAGGGGTGTGAGGAGAATCACAAGAGTTTTCATGACCCTGGAAATGGTGGCACATGCCTTTACTCCCAGCACTGGGGTGGCAAGGTCAAACAGATTATTGTGAATTTGAGGCCAGCCAAGGTTAATTAGTGAAACCCTGTCTCAAAAGAAAATTGTTAAATAAAATTTTAATGCTAACCGTGGGAAACAGGTTTACAGTCTAGTAGCATCTCTGTAAATGTACAAGTTATACACGAATGGTATCTATTATGTGGCAGGCTTGGTGATGCATGCCTTTTATCCCAGCACTCTAGAAGTGGAGAAAGAAGGATAGGGAATCCAATAACAGCCCCTACTACATACTGAGTTCTGGCCAGCCTGCCCTACAAGACAATCTGTCCTTAAAAACACTATCTTAAACTATTAACGATATATCAAACATTACAATTGGTTTCTAGAGGAATGAGAGAGGAGAACAAGAAGAATGAATACAAATAACACACAATAATATGAAGAAAAGAGGGACCATGTAAGAACTAATAAGAGTATGCTGAGAATTGAATGAAAAGTTCACTCAGATATTTGCATTTGAAGCGAAATAACTAAACACTCAGGCTCTATGTGGAAACTTTAAGGGCAAAGAGAAGTATGTACAATGGCATGAAGTCATGAAACTGTGTCATGGGACAGTGACATTTGTGAAGTATGACATGTTTGAAAGCCCTTGGCAAATTGCAGATGTTACACATGGAAGATTTCACTACACTGGAGTTAAAGTTAATGTTATGCTTCCACCTAGCATATGGTGAGATTTGTTTCCAGCCCTACTGGATTTTTAATAGACTGTGGCTACTCCAAAGACTCCAGTTCAATGGATCATTTCTGTATACAGTGGCCTCAAGGAATATGGCCCTTGATCCACTGCCTTAAAGCTGGAGTTCCAACAGCATTAACATTGTTCTGGCTAAGGCAGGCTGGGAACTGGAAGCCCAACGTGCCTTTCATTCTAAGACTAGTACATCACCCTTCTTCCTCTTAGTCTTACAAATAAGTCTTCTCTGTCACATTCCAGCTGAAACCATCCTGCTTCTGTGGTTACCTTTCCCACACCACAGACAGGTTCATACCCAACTACAAAAAGGTACATCCACACGTTTTAGAGCCCATTGTAGCTGCAATTCCACATTTAAATTTTTACTTAGTGTGTGTGATTGTGAGCATGTGTGTGTGTGTGTGTGCATTCTTGTGTTTGAGGATAGCCACACACATATACCACAGCACAAGTGCAGAGGTCAGAGAGTAACCTCCAGTGTCAGTCCTTGCCTTTTACCTAGTGATAGGGTCTCTCTTTTTGTTGGTCGTAGCTGTGGATTTCTGGGGACTCAACTCTGAGTGAGTGCTTAGATTATATACAGTTAGAATGTATACAGGCACTGCTAAGGCCAGATTTATATGGATTCTAAGGTTTCAAAAATTAAGAATTTTGCGCTTGCAGGACAAATGCTTTAATCACTGGAGCCATTTTTTCCAGCCCCACATTTAGATGAGCAAAATTAAATTTTTGTCATCTAGTCCTGTAGATTCTGGTTTCAACGACGAACTTTTTTTTTTTTTTTTTTGGCCTCATCGTGACTCAAGTAGCACTTAACACAGTGCTTGGCACATGATAGACATTCAATGAACTTCACAGTTGGATGCAAGCCTTCTAGATTAAGGGAACATGGGTCAGGCTGGATACAAGCCCAGTACAGAGGCCAGAAGAAAAAGCATAGACTTGGTTCTACCTGGAAAGGGCACAGAGACATACTTAGACAGGTGACATAATTGTCTTACTGATGCTCACCCTCTGGTACCGAGCATGCATAGAAGAGATAGAAGCAAACTAAGGAAATTAGCAAGTGTTTAACACATTTTTTTTCTCTCTCTCTCCTTTATTTCAGATGCCAAGAATGAAAATAAAGTGTGTGGGCCAGCAGTGTCTGAACTGCTGAACACTTCCTGAAGTCCTGATACACCCCACTGCCCCTCAAAAACTACAGGATGTATAGCAGTTAACTTTGCCTTCCAGTTGTGTGGGTCTCAGAAGTCAGTGTCAATGTGGTTCCCATTGTTCTAGATCAAAGTGTGCTGAGATTGAGTTGATCACTTTTCTTCACCGCCCCTCCTGCTCCGACCTCCAGCTCAATCAGGTCAATGCTATCCTGTAGAAAAATCTACCCAAAGCCCGTCCGGTCCTCCCGGGCCCCGTTTTCGACACCTGGAGGCTTTATCCCACGGCCTCGCTTCATCAACTACAGAAAGGGTCTCTAGTCCCAGCCAGGTGACCAGAGACAGCGCGACCTGTCACCACCGTTTGTGCTTTCCCGCCTTTCAGCAATGGAGCCCGCCACCAGAAGGCCCGCCCTGTTACCCAGGGCAGGTTCCCAGGAGGGCGCATGCGCGTGCTCGCCCCCCACCTGGGGGGGTGAGGGCGGAGCCGAGGGGGCCGAGCCCACTGGGGGCGGGGCGTCTCGGGCCACGTGACATCGCTTGACCATTTACACAAGGCGCGGGTAGCGCCTAGGCCTCAGTCAGGCGCTAGGCAGCGTTTTGGTTTCACTTCCGGTGAGGGGCCACGCCTGAGAGGGCGGGCAGTGAAGCCAAAGGACGGCGAGCGCGGGCGGTGGCAGTGACGGCGGCGCCGCTGCCGGGGGGCGTGCGGGAACGCGGCGGCGGCGGCTGGGCCTCGAGCGCCTGCAGCACACCTCTCGGAGGCGGGCTCCCGGCGCGAGGACGGACGAGAAGATGGAGGAGCTGGTGGTGGAAGTGCGGGGCTCCAATGGCGCTTTCTACAAGGTAACCGGCTACCGGACAGGCCCGGTCCTAGGCCTCCTTTCCTCCCTTGTGTCCTGGGCGGCGGCGGCAGGCCCCGCGGGCGCGGCGGGTGCGGTGGACTGGGGATGGAGGAAAGCAGCGGACTCGGGGCCTGTAGCCATCCTCCATGCTCCGACTCCCGCCGCCCCAGGCCCCGGCGCCCGGTGGAAGGCGAAGGAGCGCGGGGAGCTGAGGGCCATTCGGTGACCGAGCTAGGTCTGCTAAGCGGGACCAGGCGATTCTGCCCTGGGGCCGGTGCAGCGTGGGGTGGCAGCGGCTTAGTCCTGCTTTCCCAAATGATCCTCGCAGAGGGCTCTGGGCCTGACACGCGGGGAGCTGGGCGGGAGCCGAGCGGGAGCCGGGCGGGAGCCAGGCGGGAGCCGGGCGGGAGCTGAGCGGGAGCCGGACGGGAGCCTGGACAGCTGCTGGAGTCTGGCTCCTGCTCTTCGCTCCGCACTCCAGACTTTGGAGAGCTCCCCTGTTCAGGGCGAGGGGTGTGGAGCGAGGAAGAAGGGGTAGTCAGCTGGGAGTCAACAATGGCAACTGATTTTTACTGGCCTCGCTTTGTGAATTCCGAGGGAGGTTTTTAGACCGAAAAGTTTCTGGAAGACCGTGACATCTGAGAGAGCCTATTAACGACGCCGGCCTCCTAGCCTCTTTCTTACTGGGAGAAATTCAGGGATGCCCATGGGTCCGCTTTTGGAAATATTAACAAGTCTGCTTACTTAAAATTTTTCTCTGTGTTTAAGTTCTCAAGGACCCGAATGTGTGCTACAGAACTTTAGGAAATTAACTGGGACTATACGATTGCTAGTGAATTTTACCAAGACTCTTTGGAATATTTGTTCTGTGCTCAAAGCAAAAGGCGTGTATTCGCTTTGACTTTTGCCATGTTGCACTGGACCATATTATTGAGGTTTGAATCAGGCGTTCATGGAATTGAATTACTGAGAGTTTTTATACCATTGAATATCAGGTAACATCGTATGTTTTAGAAGGACTTTAAAATATTTCTATGTAGCTGTGGTGTGATTGTTAATACTGCATAATGTAGATCTAGCAATATTATAAATTCTCCTTTCTTGAATGTTTATAACCTCTGTAAGGCCCCACCTCGCTAGATATTTTAGTAATGGGAGGCGCACATGGAAGGGAGCATGGAAAATAGCTATTACCATTATCCAACATTTTTAAGTTTATTGTGGAATAACTTGGACATTTCAAATGGGACATACTTGAGTAGACTCAGGTAAATGACTTTAATAAATTATGCTTTTACCAAGTTTATGAAGACATTTAGAGAAAGATAACTTTCATGAATGAGGAAGACTTGTAAAATACTAATTTATAGCAAAAAAATCCTTTTGTTGTATTTGTAGGAGACATAAATAACACAGCATTTATGTTATTAATTTTACCGATGTATTTATTTTCAATTTGCTGTAATAAATTTTTTTCCAGTTAGTTTTGGTTAGTTTTCATTCCATTTCTAGATTCTAGAGTGACAGTTTTTCTTGCTAGAGTTGGGACACTGAGACACAGATGAGCAAGGGATAATAGTTAAGTAGTATTTTTGTTCATCTCTAATACCAGCTTAGATTTGAGTCCACTGTTAGTGGCTTTTAATGAAGTTGGCTTGCCATCAAAGACAAGTAGCCCATCCTACTCTTGAAGGATTTATTGACTCCAGTAATTTTGTTTGCAAACTGACTAATATTTTTAAGTACTCTGTTTTTGCTATTAATTCCCTTGCTGTTTTCTTGGCTTTGTTTTTCAGTGACATCTTAATTTGGAGGTGAACAAAAAGGAATGCATGATTATGGATTATCCTTTTATTCCTTGAGGCGAAATGTAATACTTTGAAAAAAATGTATGTTGAGGAATTGCTATTGTGTTTAAGTTTTATTTTTAAAAAATCATTTCAACTGGTCTGTATTAAGGGAAGGATATTATTGTCTGTACGAAAGAGGTTTAAATTTTACATCACTTAAAATATTGGCTGTGAGCAGAAAAAGTAAAGTGGACACATGCTAAGCTGCTTTCTAGTGAAATAGATGACAGAGAAATAACAACCATTAAAGAAAAACTGAGGAGTTCGTTCATTAAATTGAGAGAAATAAAAATTTAAAGCCAAACAAGTCAGATTCAGTATAATTGAATTCACTTTTGATTTGCTTACCAGTACTACGGTATTCTGGAAGATAGTTGCACATTAAGTTTGCCGAATAACTTTGTAGAACATGCTACAAAGGATTTGATTCTTTCTCTAAAAGATTCTAAATCCACAAAATATGCTTCTCACATGCTAAGGGCCAATGAGCTCTTTTTGTTTTTTGAGTTTTTTTTCAGTGTTTAAACTTTTATTAGATTTATTTGGGACTGTGTAAGGTGGTAGGTGCCTGTGTCCATCCCATGTCACACTTGTGTAGTTCAGAGGACAACTTACAGAGGTTGGCTCTCTCTCTATCGTATGGCTACTGGGGATGGAACTCAGGTCTGCAAGCCTTTACCTGCTGAGCTCTCTCAGGACCAGCTCCTGCCCCCCTTTGGTGTTTATTTTTAAAGTTGAAAGTTAGATTTAGTAATCATTAGAACTTCTACTTTTAAGCTGTGGTATTTCTTTAACTTAGTAAAAGTTGGTCACATTTACCAGTTTTTGAGCCCTTCAGGCATGTTATTTAAAATGTGAAGACACTTTGATTTCTATCTCTCATGATCTTTACAATCTTTAAATCAGCAATGTTGCAATACATTGCAATATATCTTTATTCTAGGAGCATCTGCCCCTATGTAGTTTTTGTTTATTACAGTTTTGTTGTGTTGAGAATGATAAATTAACTTCACTTTAGATGTAGAATGGGTACCATTCAGATGGGGAACTACTCTCTATACAAATATTTCTAAGTTTTATATTCTAGTATGAAAATTAACAAATCATATTGGAGACATAAGATACAAAACTTTTTTAAAATAATTTAACTTTATTTTATGGTCATTGGTGTGAAGGTGTCAGATCCCCTGGAACAAGAGTATAGACAGTTCTGAGCAACCATGTGTGTCCTGGGAAATGAACCTGGGTCCTCTGCAAGAGCAACCAGTGCTCTTAACCTTGCTGAGCTTTATCTCTTCAGCCCAATACAAAAGTTTTTAATTTCAAGTTATAATGGCTAATATCTAATTTATTATCTGTAATTATATAAATTCACAAATATATTGGCATATTATACTTAAATATCTTAGTTTTAAGCTTAGCATCTGAGAAAAGACTACCATTAACAGAGTATTGTTACCATAGGTAGTACTTTAATATGTGCAGTACAGTCAAGACCTTTGTAATGCCAGGCATGGTGGCACACATCTGTAATCCCAGCACTTAGTATGCAGAGGCTGGTGGATCTCTAAGTTCCATGCCCGGCAGGAATACATAGTGAAACCATGTCTTTTTTTTTTAAAGGTTTTTTTAAAGTCATTAGGGCCCAGCATGTGATTTTAGCTACATTTATAGAAATCATTGTATTATCACAAGTTAACTTTGACAAGCTTTAGGAATTTATAAACCTGCATGATGTGCAAATATTCTTGCATTCATAGTTTTCTCTGACAGCCAGAAAACTTTGAGTATTGGTGTTACTTTGAATGTTGAAAAAATGAATGATGTAAATTGCCACATTTTATCTTCCCAAATCTACATACTCTTTGTAAGATTTAATGTCTTTGTGGATGCAACACAACACCTTGGAAATGTGCATTTTCCAACTCCTACTCCCATTCTGAAAATCTCAAAATGTTAATTAAGTGCAAAATCCAACAGTGAATCCAATTTGGGAGTTCAGAGTCTGGCCCATTCTGGGAGATGATTGCTATCATGGTTGTGGTTATAGTTACCAGGTATGGAGTGCTAAGCACTGCTTTGCCTCTGATGGATCTGGGATTTGAAATCAGACTTTTGACATGAAACGATGAGATTTAGCTTGAAAAACATTGATTCTATTTCCTGCCCACTTTTCATTTTTATTATCTTTGCTCATATTTGTTATTACGACATTGCTTAAGCATCCCATCACTACAGTTTTTCTACAGTGAATTTTATCTGTGAACACAAAGATGTCATAAATCTCCAGTTTATGTATCAGTTTTCTTTTTTATTAACCCTTCTAGTTTAAAAATATCCTGTAACTTTTTCTATAAATTCTTATTAAGAAAGATGAAGTTACAAATCTTTGGCCCTGCTGTGACATTTCCTTTTTTTTTATTTACTCATGAAGCTCACTAAACCTGAAAAACTGTGTAACTTAATATAAACAGTATATAAATATCAGGAAAACAAGTCAGTGGATACTGTTTTCTTTGTTCTTATGTTGTCTTTGGTCAGGGTGAATTAAATTTTTCTTAGAATTTGTGGAAGAACTGTTGCTAAGTTTTATTTTTCATTCCTTTACATTGCTAATGCCTACATGTGAAGGGGGGAGAATAAAAACTCAATGCATTTATGAAACCTTGGGTTTGAATTGTACATTTTAAATGCCCCTGTACTATTTCTTAGGAGGGTTATTTTTTAAATATTTATTTATTTATTATGTATACAGCATTCCTTCCATGTGTGCCCACAAGCCAGAAGGGGGTGCCAGGTCTCGTTATAGACGGCTGTAAGCCACCATGTGGTTGCTGGGAATTGAACTCAGGACCTCTGAAAGAGCAGTCAGTGCTCTTAACCACTGAGCCATCTCTCCAGCCCATAGGGGGGTTATTTTAAAATGCTGTTAAGCTTTCTCTGCATTACACATTCTGTTACATGTCTTTACTGATAATGTAACATGTAAGTGGAAGAGGGTTGGCTACATTGAAACTTATAAAATGACCTCTGGTGACCAGTTCTTTCCTGTTTAAGATACTGTGTTATCTTTTACTTTATTTTATATGTATGGGTGTTTTGGTAGGTGCTGGGAATCGAACCAGGATTCTCTGGAAGAGCAGCCAGTGCTCTTCATGGAGCCATTTTTCTAACCCCTAGTATGACTTTTTCACACATCTTGAAACTTTAGATGTGTAAGGGAGTCAGGGGGAATAAAGTTTACCCAAATAGGGCTGAGCTTTCTGTCTTTCATGCAAAAATTTAATAAAGCAGTATTTGAACTATATAGTTCTGGCTATGATGTTGTAAACTTTCCCCTTTACTCTGGTAAACAACCTTAGTGTGTTTTATTACTTTTTCCAGTCTTTTGTCACTTTTTTCTTTTTCCTAGAGTCAAAGTAGCCTTTTAATATTTAGTAACTTTGTGGAAAGATCCCTTTCTTTTTCTGTATTATTTTTAAGCCACTATTTGACCTTTAAGACTTTCATTTATTTTTCCAAATAGCAGTCTGTAGATCCTGTCATGATTATGAGTGGTTAATTCTCATCTCTCCTTAGGGAAAACATTAGCACTATTGAGTGACTGACATCCTGTGGAGAACCTCAGTCTTTAGTCATGCCCTTAAGAACTTCTGGTTTGATAGCCCCATTAAAGCCTTTGTTTTAAAGTATGGGGGAGAATTTAACATTCTGAAATACAAAGGCATTTATGGTTCAATATCTTTTATGAAAATTACATATGTGAATAATTTCATTAAAAATTTAAAAAGCTGGTTTGGGTCCTTTAAAAATGAGGTTCCCTGATCTTGGCAGCTGTTATATGATAGAGCCAGCTAAGATTTTGAGCCTATATTTAATTCACATCAAAATTCAACCTCTTGAAGTTCTCTGATTTGAGTAATAGCCCTACCTGTCAGATGCAGTGAAACATTTCAGGCATTCATCCCATATGCCTTTGAATATATTGCAGAAATCCTATCATCCTGTAGTTTTTACAAACACCAACATAGCATGATAGTATAGAATCTCAGCAAAATGGAGTTTTCCAAGTTGGTTTCTGGCTTTCTAGAGGAACCTAGTAAATGAATTAAGAGAGAGGCAGATATAAAAAGCATTGTTGGAAGAATTATGATGAAAACACATAGGGATATGCGGAACCTGTGGAAGGAAGGTTTGCTAAAAGACCTTAGAACTGGCAGGATATATTTATTGTCCTTAGTGTGAGTGAGTGTGTGTGCAGGCCAGAGTCCATTGCTGAAATTCCTTTATTCTGCCTAGTAATGCAGCAATCAGAAGGTATTACATCCCTTCTATATGCAAACAGTGGCCAAAAATGACTGATTTTGAAACAATCATGCAAATATCTATACATAGATAAGTCTCATTAACTCAGAGGCACTGGCCCTGTGGGGATGTGATGATTACTCAAACGATTTCTGACACTTCACCCAGAATTAAATTCAAGGAATGTGAAAACATTTCTTTTTTTTTCCATTTTTTCCTTTCTCTCTTTTTCAGTTATACAATTTACAGCTCTCCTTTGAGAGAACACTTCATTTTTTAGGAAATAGGCAAATGTACTGAATGCATATGATTAAACTGAATACTAACTTAGGCAAGTAGGGAGAAAAGAAAATACAGCCATATAGTCATAAGACTGACTTTTAAAGAGTGCTTTTATGGTTGATTTGAAAACTTTTAACACTTGTAAATGTTCTAAATAAGTAGGATTTGCTACAATAGCCACTGAGCTATCCCTAGCTCATAAACACTCAAAATGTGACAGGTGAATGGATTACTGAATTTAATTGTAATTAATTTTAATGTAGATTACATTTAGTTATCACAGACTGCATAGTTTTAGGCAAAGACTGCTTTGCAAAGGACAGTCCTTCACCCAGCAGTACCAAAGTTCAGTTTGCTGACTAAAGAATTTAACATTTTCAGTATATAATGCACTGTAAAGACCTAGTGTTGTTGTGCTGTTGCCAAGGCATGTAAACATCACACAACTTTCAACAAGGGTGAGGAAGCAATTACATTTTCTTAGTAAATGAAGGACAAAGGAAGTCTTGGTTTTAGTTGGGAGTCTAGTAATCTCCCCCAGAAATAATAATTTTAACTTGATATTAGCTATTGTGTGAGGACAAAGGATACATGGGCATATAATGGCTATCCTTTCCCTTCTCCAAAGTTTTATTCTGTAGTGCAAAAACATCAAGAACTTGAGTGAACAATTCTCCCAACTTTTAATTCAAAATCAGTTACCTTTGTTGTTAAATATTAGCACACTGGAAGCATGCTTGCTTATGAAATAGTGTACATTCTAAAGTATGTTGAGTGGTATTGAACTATAGTTGTTAAAATGTGCTATAGAAATTTTAATAAATAAATCTGGGAAATAAGCAAGATCAGATAGGTGGGAAGAAAATTTGGGTTTCTTATCATTTAAACCTGTAACAATATGGGTGTGTGTGTGTGTGTGTCTGTGTGTGTGTGTGTGTGTCTGTGTGTGTGTGTGTGTGTGTGTGTTGCTTGCTTCCTGCAGCTTTTTGGCCTCATTCCACATTCCTGTAATTTCCAACTGTCTGGAGTCTCCATTGTATCTTTGGCTTCACATTATCGTTCAGGGGTTCCTTATAGGGATTTTATCCCTGGTACACGTATTGCTTGCTGGGCCTCTAGTATTTCTTTTGCGATTTGGCTTGAAATTTCCATAATCTTTATTATACCTTTAAAAGCAGGTGAATCACCAAGGTGTGCTGCCAAGGCCATATTGGTGAAATGAACCCTAGGGAAACAACTTTCTCTGTTACTCAGTGTCAGCAGGGTTCGTTGGTGCTGCTGTCTTCTCAAAGGAACATTTATTGCTTGATTTGTAGCTATCCACCCCACTCCCATACAAATAAATCATGGGTTAAATCCTGTTCTTTCTTATAGTGGTATATTATTTGTATTTTGATAAACATATCTTGCCTGAAGACCAGAGGCAAAGATAAAGCCACTATAGGTCAGGCAGTGGTGACACACACCTTTAATCCCAGGATTTGGGAGACAGAATCAGAAAGATCTCTGTGAGTTCAAGGCTACTTTGGGCTATACAAGATCAATGCAGAAACAAATCATCCAGGTGGTGGTGGCTCACACCTTTAATCTCAGTCCTAGGTAGTCATTGGCCTTTAATCTCAGCACTAGAAGAAATATAAACTGGGAGGAGAGAGAGGCTTACTTTACAATCACCCAGCCTTGGTAGAGGTGAGCCATCTCTAATGACTTGACTGCTTTGCTTTTCTGGTTTTTGGGTTGAACCCCAATATCTGACTCTGGGTTTTTATTATTCGTACTACACTTCTTTCATTGTCTCAGCTTTCTTATTGATGACTTATTCCAGTCTCAAGATGCTTTTCATTGTCTACACTTTTATTCTTGCTTATTCATCCTCCACTGACCTTTTTAATTCTTCCTTATACTTTAAGAGTCAGTAGATGCCTCACCTTTCCAGTATATCTCCCTTACCAAAGTAATATAGCACTGCCAACAAACAGATCTTTTACTCAGGCTGTGAGAGGAACATATTAGGCACCAGTTCACTTAATAGACATTCATTGAGTTCATTCTAAGTATTTCCAAGATAATAGTGCATAAACTAAATTTAACTTAGTTATACTTTCATTCTTACTTGAAACCTAAAAAGCAAATAGAAAATAAGTACAAAGGGGAAAAGAACAATACAGCACTCATGGAGAAGTTACAGCTTATCTTTACTGCTAGGCATGTGGTTCTAGAGTAAGCTTCTTAATTTTTAAAAATGTAGCCTAAAGTGCACCTTATTCAACAGTAAATTGTATTGTCCAATGTAACTATCTCTTTGAGTTTCTAAAGTCTGAGGCAATTTTTCTTATTTAATGTTGTAACTGTCTGTGTATTACTAAACCCTAATATATAGTACCTGGCAAAATAAATATGGTGAATAAGTGAACATCAGAAACTGATTTTTCAATCAAAGATCCATTTTATTCCGTATTTTATTTTGTTTTGTGTTGGTTTTTTTTTTGTTTTTGTTTTTCAAGACAGGGTTTCTCTGTAGCTCTGACTCTCCTGAAACTTGCTCTGTAGACAAGACTGACTTCAAACTCAGAACTCAGAGATCCACCTGCCTCTGTCTCCTAAGTGCTGGGATTAAAGGCACGTGCCACCATAAACTGGGACTCATTTTATTCTTAAATATCTCTAAAATTTACCTTAAAAGTTAGCTTATAAGTTAATTTGTTGTATTTTATTTCCAGGCATTTGTAAAAAATGTTCATGAAGATTCAATAACAGTTGCTTTTGAAAACAAGTAAGTTTCTCACTCTATAATCTTAATGTTGAAGACAGAATGCTTTATACCCATTCCTTTTTTTTTTCTCGTTTTCTTAAAAATGAAGTCTGGTTTGAGTGTCTTTCCTATTACCAAACAAGAAGTTCTGAAAGAGCTCAGTATTAAATCAATAAAAGGCTCTCTCCTGCTGCTAATGTATGTCTTCAGAGTTCCTTAATGTATAATCTTGATCCTTTATGTTCATTTGATTATGAAAAAAGGCACATTTTTCTCTACTGTTAACTGAGAGTTTAAATAGGAGGAATATTTGTAATTTTATTAAAAATTGAAAATAAAGGATGTTTGCAAGAAAAAATGGTTGTAGTTTTATAGTATTTTTTAATTATATAGTTTGTTTTACCAGGAAAAATTATGTTTCGACTTTAGGTTATTTTTATTTTTTCATAAATTTGAATCATTAATAGTAACAGGTAATCTTTACTGCTTTCTGTTTCTAGATCATAAAACAATACTTAAAGATCTAGGTATATGGACTGTGTGTAAAAGTCAATAGTATAGATATTTTATTGGGGAAAAATCTATTAACTAAACTTGAGTACTAATAAAGGCCTTTTTTTTTAGTAGTAGTTGCCACATGAGACACTGAAGTCATAAATTTGGTGCTCATACTAGGATTTTGCTAACTGTGGATAGTGATATAGAATTTTTTTGGAACCACGGCAATTAAGTACATCCAAATCAGGCTAAAATAATCTTAAAAATCTGTAGATAATAAAGTAGTATAGTGATTGTTTAGAATTTATTAGGGGGTGAGATGGAGGCTAAAGTATAGAAGACTTTCTGTTGTAGTGATAAAAATGTTTCTACAATTCACTAACAATTGTATATATATATATGAAAATATACAAAACCCTATTGAATTGTACATTTAAATTGGTGAATTGTGTGGTTTATAAATTATATCTCAGTAAATCTCCCAAAATGCATTCTGTGGCACAGAGACACAAATGCCTTGAATTTAAAATATTAAGAGTAGATCTGCAATTCACTGTCTAGAAAAATCTGAAATTAGACTGTAAACACAGTACTTTTAGCTAGGAACAGGGCAAAGTAGTAGCCTTTGATGCTTGCTATACATTTAGAAGGACATAGATGATTGAGAATAATCAACCAAGTTCCATGCTCTAAACTAATGATGTTAGTCTACACTACAAGTTTAAATAATAGAATACCTTTCTCTGAATGCCTAAAGACAAAAGTTCCATAATTGCCTTTTTACTTTTTTAAGGATCCATCATTACACAATAGACAACTATAATATCATACCTCTACTGAAGGAACCATTGATAATTTGGAGGATAATCTTTCTGTAATTAAACTCATTATTACTTTTACTGTGCATGTATGTATATCTCTGTGTGTGTTCAGCATGAATACAGATGTTGATTGAGGCTAGAAGTATCATATCCCCTCTGAAACTGGAGTTAGAGGCAGTTGTAAGTTGCCCAACATGGGTGCTGAAAACCATCTCAGGTCCTCTGCAAGCAGCTAAGGCATGCTTCCAGCCTTATTGTGTTTATACTTTTATCTGCTTATTTTCTTCATTAGTCAAACACTGTTTTCCAAAATGGACATTTTGGGTTTACTGCTCTTAGTTTCTCCTGTGAACTATAAACTATTAAGCGGACTCTTTGTTCTTTTTTGTGTGTTTCTATTTTGGCTTTCCATCTACATTTAAAAAAGAGTGTGAAGGAAGAGAAAGGTTCATCAAGCATGAAGTAAAACACACATAGTATTTCAAAGAATAGGGTCCTTTCATTTAGGAAGAATAGCTTGTTTAGGGCATATAGGTTTTAACCTTCCATATTTAACATTGAACAATAGATTTGATTCTGTATCTCTTTTTGTAAAGAATTAAAGTCATTGTCACTCCTTTGGAACCAAAAAAATTATATTTTGCGTTGTATGCTTTTACAAGTGAAATTTACCAATCATTTTGTAACATGTTAAAAGTCACTATCAATAGGTATAAAAAGAATGTTCTGTTTTATTTTAATTATATTTTTTCCAATATATTCTTTTTTTTTCTGAGACAGGGTTTCTCTGTAACTTTGGAGTCTGTCCTGGAACTCACGCTGTAGTCCAGACTGGCCAGGCTGGCCTTGAACACACAGAGATCTGCTGTCTCTGCCTCCCAAGTGCTGGGTTTAAAGGCGTGCACCGGCCCCATGTATTCATTAGTCACAGAGAGGAGTCAGTCTTATTTCATCACTCATCATATTTCCACATATTCCGAATTATTTTTCCTTTTATATAATAGTTCTTCTTTATAAACAGAAAGAAAGATAAATTAGTATTCCTTAATTGTGTTGTACTAAAATGTCCTGTGTCAAAATATAGGCATTTTATGAGGCTGAAAAGGTTACTCAGCAGTTAAGGATGCTTGCTGTTCTTACAGAGGACTGAAATTCAGTTCCCAGCACCTGAAACTCTAGTTCTAGAGGATCTGTTACTTACTCTCTTCTGGTCTTTATCCTTTTACATGCACAGATAGACAGGTGTATATATAAGCACAGAAAATTTTAAATAAATCTAAAAATATATATGTATTATATGTGTTTTACACAGAATAGATCTCAGTTTCTTTCAAGAAAATTGACTGCTCCAGTGATTGAATCATCCAGTATCTTTATAAAATTGTTGCTTAGTATTTTGTCTTTCCAAGTAAAAGCAAAATAAAGAAATGGCATCTTAAAGCTATTCCGTATTATTTTTAAGTTTAAGAAATGTAGGCAATTTAATTGAACTCCTGTAGGCTGTCTCCATTTGGTTTCTGTGGTTTAGGAGAACCCCCACCAACCCAGTCCATGCTGATACATCATACCGATCAGCATCCAGCTACCTGTGGCAAGAATTGACCACCTCGTGGGATCTAAAATTTAAAGGGGGAAAAGTGAGTTGAGAATTGCTAATGTGCTGACTGCAATTTTGCTTGGGAAGTAGTGGACAGTTTCTGTGGTTGATGGAATGTGGTCATAATTATTTTGCAAGTAGATTACTAACAATTACCAATACTAATTTAAGCATCAAAAGAATTTCTACTGTGGACTTAGGCTTTAAAAGTCTTAGAGTTGAAATTATTAGATGAAAAACATTTTGAATAATAGTTTTTATCTATTGTGTTAAAAGAAATTCTTTGTGGAAGCACAGGCTGCTATGCTGCATGTAGACTTTCTTAAAATGTCTGTACAGTGTCATTATGCACCACTCAGCAAAAACTGGCCATTAGAAGGCATTTGCTTCTTTAAAACAAGAAAGAGTCACATTTAACCAGTTAATTGCAACATGGTCACTGTTTCCATTAAACATCAGAAGCATATCAAATAATGATATTTTGTTTATTTGCAGCTGGCAGACAGACAGACAGATTCCATTCCATGATGTGAGATTCCCACCACCTGTAGGTTATAATAAAGATATAAATGAAAGTGATGAAGTTGAGGTGAGTTCCCCCAGCCATGACATAACTAAGGACTGAAGGCATCTGTGTATTTAATTTTCTTGGATTTTTAAAATATATCTTACTTTTAACGGTATTTGAACCACCTTGAGTGATAGAGTTGAAGTGGGCATAATTCTTATGAGTATCCCTTTTAGTTAATGATTTGAAATGTTATATGGTACTTATATTTGACTATTTCAGCAACACTCACAGATTATCTTGCCACTGTCTCAAGTTCGTTTGTTCATTATTAAACGCTTGTCCCCATCTCTAAATCTTTGTTTAGATAATACTTTTTTCACTTCTTATTAAGCCCGCTTTTTAAACAAAACGAATTTGTAAAAATCGTTTTACAAAGGAAAGTAATAGTTCTAACAAGGCATGATGATGATGTATGTCTATAATCCTAGCACTTAGGAGGTGGAGACTGGCAGTTTAGGAGTTCTCAGTTTGTTGTCGCCTGTATATTAAGTTAGAGGTCAGCTCTACGTACATGAGATCCTTACCTCCAAAAACAAATTTAAGAAGTAATTCTAGAGCCAGATGTGGTGGCACATGCTTTTAATAACAGCACTCAAAAGACAGAGGCAGTGGGCTTCTATGAGTTCAAGGCCACTAGATCTATATAGTGAGTTCTATAACAGCCAAGTCGATAGAGATAGACCCTGTCTCAAAAAACAAATAAACAAAAAGAAATAGTTCTATTTAATAGTCTAGTAACCTAAAAATTTATTTTAGTGGTCAAGTAGTCATGAATCTGGTATATATTTTTCAAACCTGTATCTTTTTAGATCACATTTATAGCCCAAATGTTCTTTTACAGAACATACTGTGAACTACCTGCTCTTCTACCATTGAGCTCTTAGAATAAAAGGTGCTGTTGAGACTTGATCAAAATCATTGAATTTGTAATTCTCTACTAATTGAAAGTTGGTTTTGTATTATACTTTGCACTTATACTCTTATCTTACTGTTTTCATGGTCTCTTACCTCCTGCTTCACAGGCCTCATTTTGAGCTCATTTTTCTCTGCAGGACTTAGCAGAATGCCTCCCTTTTTTGTAATTTCATGCATATTTGTAGTATGAAGAAAAGAAATAATAGATACTTGTTAGAGGTAAGCAAAATGAGGTTAGGTCCTAAAATGCTTCTTTTCTGGTCTGGATATGAGAGGCACATCCAAACAGGACAGTCTCCTGCTTTTTTATGAGGTTACATTCTAGCTGGAATAGCTAATGTCCTGACAAGTGAAAATCAAATGAAGGGAGAGAAAGATAAATGGAAGATAATGCCAGGGCAGTAGTGTTATTTCAGAGTCTAGCCAGAGAAGGTCTCTGAATGTCCAAACCTATGTTCTCTCTACAGTTTAAATGAAAAAATAGAGTAACATATTTATTTGCCTAAAAATGTACTTACTGTCTCCTAGGCTTGGCTTTTCATGAGATCTTAGTTGTAAATAGAGATGTTATTCAAACCTAAAGGTCTTCAGGTTGCTGATATGTCTCAGCAGATAAGGGTACTTGCTATACCAAGACTGTGATCTGAGTTAGATTCTTACATGGTAGAAGAAAAGAATGGACACCTGGGGGTTGTCCTCTGACCTCCACATGTGTACCCATATACTTACATCACCAAGTAAACAAATGTGTATGTTCTTTTTCAAAAATACCTTCTGTCATCCTCCCTGTGGGCTGAAGGCTATCTAAAAGCAAATGCCAGTTTATGTTTTTTTTGTTTCTATGTCAAGACTTTGGAGGGGTAAAGAAAACCATTTTGCTTTTTTTTTTTTTTTGACATAGGTGCATGGCAGGTAAGGTACAGAGAGAAGCCTCATAAAACTTACCTATGGAGTTAATGAGATGGCACTCATTAACATGACACTTAAGGTTTTTTATCACTTATTTGCTAGTGTCTTCACAAAAGATTCCATGGTACACCTTGCAACTGAACTTTGGAATGGTTTTCTAAGAGATAATTATTAGAATTCTGTATGAGAGCCAGAAAGATAAAGATTGCCAGCATAGATTTGTTCTTTTTTATGAAGAAGATTGAGCCAGAAAAGCAAAGTAGCCTTCAGGAAAGATAAAATACAGGACCCTGGTGGCTGAGTGATCTCTGAATGTAGTGAGCAGGTAGTTGTAACTGGTATCTGTAACTTTGCATTAGTTTTACTTATTAGAATAAAACAGTGATATTTAAATGATTTCAGACACAATTTTGTAGCTCATTAAGTACTATAAAAGAAACCATGCTATGGATGCCAGCTTTTCTCCAGTGTCCATGTTGAAAGTACTAAATATTACCGACATAGAGAAAAAAGTAAGCAAAGTGCTTTTATCACTGAGTTCTCAGATTGTTTCCAACTAGATGTTCTTGTCTAGGTCAGTATATAGGAACAGTTTGGTTTGAAGACATGTGGCATATGATTTCAAAGCTGTAAGAAGTTTTCTTCAATGTGTGATGTATGCTGGTTTTGAATTGTATTAATCAAAAATATCTGTTTTGTCATTTTTGTGTAGGTTTATTCAAGAGCAAATGAAAAAGAACCTTGCTGTTGGTGGTTAGCTAAAGTGAGGATGATAAAGGGTGAGGTAGGAAAATGCATATTTGTTCATACTATTTACATTTTCTAAACCCAGGTACCACGTTTTTATTTTGGTATCTATTTTTAATTGTGACTTAATTTTTAAGTCATTTTATGACAATGTCTTTATTATAGATTTACTAGATACTATGTGTTTTCATTGATTAAAAGTAACCCCTCCCCTGAGAGTTTATATTTCAAAATGACAGTAGGAGCTGGGCATGGTGATCCATGCCCTTAATCCAGCACTCAGGTAGCTAAATCAGGAGGATCAGTGGTTCAAGGTCATCCTTGGCTTCATGGTAATACTAGGTTAGCCTGGGCTATTAAGATTTCCTATCTCAAGAAAAAAATAGGAAAAAGTACTTTTTTCTATTCTTTAAAAAATATAGCTGTGAATGATTTTATTTTTATTTCTCTCAGTTTTATGTGATAGAATATGCAGCATGTGATGCTACATATAATGAAATTGTCACAATTGAGCGTCTACGATCTGTTAATCCCAACAAGCCTGCTACAAAAGATACTTTTCATAAGATCAAATTGGAGGTGCCAGAAGATTTACGACAAATGTAAGTTGATATACAAAACATGCTATATGAAAACGTTTTGGAAACCTGCAAGGGCATGTATTTTTACAAATGTACATGTAAATACACATAGGCATATATAAATCCATATGTGTTTATATCTGACTTACTAATTCAGAGTGTTAATTTTAAAATAAAATGTTTTATGGTGATATGCAAAATATTCATCAGTATGGCTATAGGATAGGGCCATTTCAGGTTCCCTATCCTCAGCTGCCCAAGGAACTAACTGGAGACATCACCATAGATACCTGGGAGCCCCTCTAAGTTCAAGTCTCTTGCCAACCCTAAGATGGCTCCCTTAATTAAGATATATACTTCCTTGCTCCCATATCCATTCTTCCTTTATCCCAACCATTCCATTTCCCCAAGTTCCCCCCATCCTCCCCTTCTCACTTTTCTCTCCCCATCTCCCCTTACCCCCAACTCACCCCACCCCCAAGATCCCAATTTTTTGCCTGGAAATCTTGTCTACTTCCCATATCCAGGAGGATAACTATATGTTTTTCTTTGGGTTCACCTTCTTATTTAGCTTCTTTAGGATCACAAATTAAAGACTCGATGTCCTTTATTTATGGCTAGAAACCAATTATGAGTGAGTACATCCCCTGTTCATCTTTTTGGGTCTGGGTTACCTCACTCAGGATAGTGTTTTCTATTTCCATCCATTTGCATGCAAAATTCAAGATGTCATTGTTTTTTACTGCTGAGTAGTACTCCTAATGTGTATATATTCCACACTTTCTTCATCCATTCTTCCATTGAAGGACATCTAGGTTGTTTCCAGTTTCTGGCTATTACAAATAATGCTGCTCTGAACATACTTGAACAAATGCTTTTGTAATATGATGGGGCATCACTTGGGTATATTCCCAAGAGTGGTATTGTTGTGTCCTGGAAATAGAGACAGAGACCCACATTGGAGAACCAGAATGAGCTCACAAGGTCCCAATGAGGAGAAGAAGGAGGGAGAACATGAGCAAGAAAGTCAGGACCGCGCGGGGTGCACCCACCCACTGAGACAGTGGGGCTGATTTATTGGGAGCACACCAAGGCCAGCTGGACTGTGACTGAAAAAGCATGGGATAAAACTGGACTCTCTGAACATGGTGGACAATGAGGGCTGATGGGAAGCCAAGGACAATGGCACAGGGTTTTGATCCTACTTCATGTTCTGGCTTTGTGGGAGCCTAGCCAGTTTAGATGCTCACCTTCCTAGATCTGGATGGAGGGGGAAGGACCTTGGACTTTCCACAGGGCAGGGAATCCTGACTGCTCTTTGGACTGTAGAGGGAGGGGGAAGGAAATGGGAGGCTGGGAGGAGGCAGAATTTTTTTTTTCTTTTTTGGTTTTTTTGGTGTTTTTTTGTTTATTTTTTTTTTAGTTGTTGAAAAAGAAAAAAAAATTCCACCTCCTCCCCATTTCCCATTTCCCTTCCCCTCCTCCCACACATCGTCCCCTCCCCCTCTTCCCTCCCCCCCTTCATTCTCCCTCCCTCTCGAGAATGAAGAGCATTCCAGATTCCCTGCCCTGCGGGAAGTCCAAGGTCCTCCCACTTCTATCCAGGTCCAGGAAGGTGAGCATCCAAACAGGCTCTCACAAAACCACTTCACGTATTAGGATCGAAACCTAGTGCCATTGTCCTTGGCTTCTCATCAGCCTTCATTGTCAGCCATGTTCAGAAAGTCCGGTTTCATCCCATGCTTATTCAGTCCCAGTCCCGCTGGCCTTGGTGAGCTCCCATTAGATCAGTTCCACTGTCACAGTGGGTGGGTGCACCCCTCATGGTCCTGACTTCCTTGCTCATGTTCTCCCTCTTCTGCTCCCCATTTGGATCTTAAGAGCTCAGTCCGGTGCTCCAAATTGGGTCTCTGTCTCTATCTTGATCCATCGCCAGATGAAGGTTCATATCCAGGCGGATGACTATATGATTTTCTTTGGGTTCACCTTCTTATTTAGCTTCTTTAGGATCACAAATTAAAGACTCAATGTCCTTTATTTATGGCTAGAAACCAATTATGAGTGAGTACATCCCCTGTTCATCTTTTTGGGTCTGGGTTACCTCACTCAGGATAGTGTTTTCTATTTCCATCCATTTGCATGCAAAATTCACGAAGTCATTGTTTTTTACCGCAGCGTAGTACTCTAATGTGTATATATTCCACACTTTCTTCATCCATTCTTCCATTGAAGGACATCTAGGTTGTTTCCAGGTTCTGGCTATTACAAATAATGCTGCTATGAACATAGTTGAACAAATTCTTTTGTCATACGATAGTGCATCACTTGGGTATATTCCCAAGAGTGGTATTACTGGATCTTGGGGTAGGTTGATCCCGAATTTCCTGAGAAATCGCCACACTGCTTTCCAAAGTGGTTGCACAAGTTTGCATTCCCACCAGCAATGGATGAGTGTGCCCCTTACTCCACATCCTCTCCAGCAAAGGCTATCATTGGTGTTTTTGATTTTAGCAATTCTGACAGGTGTAAGGTGGTATCTCAAAGTTGTTTTAATTTGCATTTCCCTGATCGCCAAGGAGGTTGAGCATGACCTTAAGTGTCTTTTGGCCATTTGAACTTCTTCTGTTGAGAATTCTTTGTTAAGTTCAGTGCCACATTTTTTAATTGGGTTAATTAGCATTTTAAAGTCTAGTTTCTTGAGTTCTTTATATATTTTGGAGATCAGACCTTTGTCTGTTGCAGGGTTGGTGAAGATCTCCTAGTCGGTGGGTTGCCTTTTTGTGTTAGTGACAGTGTCCTTTGCTTTACAGAAGCTTCTCAGTTTCAGGAGGTCCCATTTATTCAATGTTGTCCTTAATGTCTGTGCTGCTGGGGACATACGTAGGAAGTGATCTCCTGTGCCCATATGTTGTAGAGTACTTCCCACTTTCTCTTCTATCAGGTTCAGTGTGTTTAGCCTGATATTGAGGTCTTTAATCCATTTGGACTTGAGTTTTGTGCATGGCGATAGATATGGATCTATTTTCATTCTTCTACAGGTTGACATCCAGTTCTAATAAAAAAATTTAAAAAAATAAAAAATAAAAAAAATAGAATGTTTTTAAATTCAGTGAACTTTGGCAAAAGTAATTGGTTGCAGTAAAGAAGGGAAAAATGTTTTTTCCTAGTTATATACTCAAGCACATTTTGTATTTGTTTAAGCTTACCTTATATTTAGCTAAAGTGTATAATATACATCAAGTTCTCTAAACCAACATTTTTCATAAGTACTTAATATTTTGAAAATGACAAAATGATAATTCTATCAAAAGTTATGACTATAAAGTCTTCTCCTGATGCTTTCCTTTTTTTTGATAAAATATTTTCAGAAAAATACATACTTGGTTAAAGCCAAAGAGGTTTGTAAAAGTCCTGTCTATAATCTTTTATCTGGAATAACGTTAAACACTTCAGATAGGAGATTGTTTTTTTAAAAGGGGCATTAAGTCTGATGTGAACTTCTACTATAGATAAATTTCATATTCAGATTACATAGAAATCCTCCCTAATTTTAGAGATGATATATGCAAGTCATTATTTTATGCTTGCTGCTTTCTTTCAACATATTTAGCTGATTTACTTTAAAAGAAAAAAGAAGAGAAATTCAGACACCCCATTCATCGTAGTTAGTTGTTTTTTTCCTTTTAGTTTTTGGGGGCCCACTACCCAGGTCCCAATAAATGCACACATGGAGACTTATTCTTTCATATAAATGCCTGGCCTTACCTTGGCTTGTTTCTCGCCAGCTTTTCTTAAATTATCCCATCTACCTATGACTCTGGACTTTTTTACCTTCCTTTATTTATATATCTTTACTTCTTATTCCATGTCTGGCTGTGTGGCTGGATGGCTGGCCCCTGGCATCCTCCTCCTCTTTCTCTTGTCTCCTGATCTCCTCCTCCCATATTTCTCTGTCTATTTATACTCTCTACCTGCCAGTTCTGCCTATCATTTCTCCTACCTCACTATAGGCGATTCAGCTCTTTATTAAACCAATCAGATGTTTTAGACAGGCAAAGTCACACAGCTTCACAGAGTTAAACAAATGCAATATAAAAGAAGGCAGCACATATTTGCATCATTAAAATAAATGTTCTACAGCATGAACAAATATAACACATCTTAATATTCCACAACATCCTGTAGTTTATCTCCATAAGTTTCAGTTTGGTCCATGAACAATATTGACTTATGTGTAAGCAAAATCAGGAATTACACAGAATGTAGTGATTCCCCTAAATGTGGCTTCTTCAACTATCTAAACCTAATAGCAATTCCTTAAGAGCCTAACTGTTTAGCCAGGTGTGGTGGTACATGCTTATAATCTCAACATTCGAGAGGAAAAGGCTTCAATTACATAACTGCATTTAAGGCTTATCTAGGATAACATGATGAGATTATATCTGCAAAAGGGAGGGGAGGAATGAAAAGCTAGAGCTCGTGAGATGACTCTATAGGTGTGTTTGTTGCCACATCTGACAACCTGAATTTGATCCCTGGGATTCACATAGTGGGAATAGAGAGCCAATAACAATAAGTTCACATGCATGCCATGGCCCACATGTGCCCACATATGTAACATGAAGGGGACCATTTGTTGTTGGGGTTTTTGTCCCGCCCTTTACCCCCATAACTCTTTAGCCCCAAAGAAAATCACACATGGGTCTCCATAAATTATAAGCTGATTGGCCCATTAGCTCTAGCCTCTCACTGGCTAACTCTCACATCTTAATTAACCCATTTTTCTGATCTATGTTAGCCATGTGGCTCAGTACGTTTTTTCAGTTGGGCAGATCACACCCTGCTGCTTCAATGGTCTGAGTAAGAGTGGGAGGAATCAGCTTCCTCCTTCCCAGAATTCTCCTGTTCTCATTACATCATTTCTTCCTGTCTGGTTTTTCCCGCCTATATTTCCTGCCTGGCCAATCAGCGTTTATTTATAACATGATTGACAGAATACAGATAATTCTCTCACACCACACATACATCATGTGTATGATAACACCATGCATTTGATGGATAAAGAAATATTTTAAAAATAGCTAGGGGGTGGTGATATAGATGCAGTGCCATGTATGAAATTCTCAAAAAAGTATTAGCTGCTTTTTTACCCTTTCTTTATTATATCAGGTGTTTGCTTTGACTATTTCAAAGATGTATAATAAAAAACATAACTTTTATCAAAATCAAACGTTTTTCATTAAAAGAAACTAGTATAAATCCTTGATTTGTCTTAGTGTAATTCTGTCTGCATATATTTGTGCTAGGGATTGGTGATCGTTCATGTTAATGATAAATATTTTTTATTTCTAGGTGTGCCAAAGAATCAGCACATAAGGATTTTAAAAAGGCAGTTGGTGCCTTTTCTGTAACTTATGATCCAGAAAATTATCAGCTGGTCATTTTGGTGAGTGTTTTGAATGGTAGTTTGGTTTATTCCATTTGGGATGTTTGCTTTGGTAACAGTGTTGTTAACTTTAAATCACTCAGTCCATCAATGAAGTCACCTCAAAGCGAGCACACATGTTGATTGACGTGCACTTTCGAAGTCTGCGCACTAAGCTGTCTCTTATACTGAGAAATGAAGAAGCCAGTAAACAACTGGAGGTATGTTCCTTTCCCTAGCACTAATAGTAAAGCTGTCCAGAAATAACTTTATAGTTTTCAAGTTCAAGTATGGACAGCTTGTTTATTTACTATTCCCTAGTTCCCCATAGTTTGGGAGGTTAAATTGTGCAAAGTATAATACTAAAGTTTTCATGCCTGATGTTTTGAAATTACACAGCGGTCATGTATTTTAAGGAAATTTTGAATAATTCATTTTTACCAAAAGTTTGTCAAAGCTGCTATAAAGTGAGACAATGCTTCTATGTAACATTGTTATCATTAAAGTACTAGAAAGTATTTAAATATCTAATCTTATTCCTTTCATTATGTATGTTTATCTCTGTTTAAAAGGGTATAGAACTTCTTCATTCTAATTGGTTGTCACTCTTTAAAACTCCTGTCTTCAGATTCCTGCCAGAGGCTATTTCCCTAACTTACTATTTCGTCTCTTAAGGTGCATTTTATCTACTTTTATTAATCCTCCAATAATTGTCATCACCATACATTTATTTTCATTGATAATAACTATCTAGTACTTCCATCCATTACCATAGAAACTAAATGGATTTTATTTTAATGTACCAGCTCAAGTAGATTTCTGTCAAATTGAAGAATCCCTCATCATTATTCATTTTGTTAAGGGGAATCATCAGTTGATATAGCAAAAGAAAGGGGGAGTTTCAAATTGCAGTTTAAGAGAAAAGGTAGTCAAGGATATGAAAACTGCCACTTTCTAACTTGATGTGTGATTGGTGAACTCTTAGCAGGAAAGGAAAAATTTACTTTTGTTTTCCAAATGACCACTGAAGTCTGATTAGTTTTTTTGTTTTGTTTTTTGATTTTGTTTGTTCTTATTCTTTCTTGATGTCCCCCATGTTCACAATTTTGTGGTTTGTTTAGTGATTTTCTTGTAACTTTTAGACCACAACAGCCTTCTTAATTTCATTATGTGTATTATGAAAATATACTCCTACACCTCTTCTTAATCATCTAATTCTTCTTGAATGCTCTTTGCCATATTTTTAGTTTATGTGTGTCCATAAAATATCAATGGGAAGAATGAACCAGGCTAATGAATCAAGATCCAAAAACGTGGCTCCTTGGAAAATCTTAGAAGATTTTGTACACCTCACTACTATTATCTTAAAAATAACTTTTCTTTTAAATTTCTTACATTAGATATATTCATTCATTCAAATTATCAGGTGTGTTGAATAATGATAAACTAGTGTGCATGACTGTTTTCTTCACTACTAATATTAAAGGGGTTCATATATCCTTATAAAAAATACCCATTTTTCAACATGAGCCACTAATCTGTTTGGTTTTCATTAATGGCATGCTAGAACTAAACATTCAATTTTGATATGCTACTTAAAGACAGTGATTATCCACATATGTGGGGTATCATTGGAACTTAGTTTTGTCATCACTGAATATTTTAAAGAGTTCATCAAGCTTGTGGATCCAGATCACAAAGTCTTACAGACTCTGAACACATAAGCAAAACCGGTTTGAGAATTCTGTATATTCTGTAAGTGTTCACTTAACTGATCAACTAGAAAATTTTAGACTCCTTTCCTTGGGTTTAGGGAGTGGGGAGTGTGTTGTTTTACTGACACATTTCAGCAAAATATTAAGATCCACCATACCTGGTGATGCATTAAGAAAATGACACCATTTTTAGAAAAAGTACTAACATATCCATAATAAAAGTATACAGAATAATTTTTTCCTTGCAGATAGTGTTTTTAATTGTGTTAACTTAAATTGCAGCGAGTCTGTCAGACCTAGTGAGCTGTTTTTTAATTGGGATTATTTTGTCTGCTTCTTAATTATTACATTGTGGATATCATTGAATAACAAAGGCAGCCTTGCAAATAGGCTTTCAAAAGTAACCTTGAAAAACTGTCAGGTTCTTTCCTGTTAACAAAAAAATGTTAGTTGGCACAGAGCTTCAGTAGCCTAAAAATAAGTTATGTGTGATTTTAAAATTAGTTTTCAAATAAAGCAGTTTATAGGACCCTGATATATAGGGTCACGATAATTTACATGGCTGAGCTAAATGAAATTGTCTTCATAATTGATAAAGCATGTTAATAAGTTGTGCATTTTTCTTCAGAGTTCAAGGCAACTTGCCTCAAGATTTCATGAACAGTTTATCGTACGAGAGGATCTGATGGGTCTAGCTATTGGTACTCATGGTGCTAATATTCAGCAAGCCAGAAAAGTACCTGGGGTCACTGCTATTGATTTAGATGAGGATACCTGCACATTTCATATTTATGGAGAGGTAACTATTTCACTATATAATGCAGTTTGCCCCCCCCCCAATAAAACAAACAGTATTTCAAATGACAAATGGTTTTTGGCTTGATACTACACCCACTCACCCCTCTTTATTAGGATCAAGATGCAGTGAAAAAGGCTAGAAGCTTTCTGGAATTTGCTGAAGATGTCATACAAGTTCCACGTAACTTAGTAGGTAAGTCAAAAATAACTTTATATATACCACAAAAATAAAATTCTGTACACATGTTCTCTAACAGTTAAGTCTCTTTCCCTCACTAAAATGTATAATCTAATTGGAGCAATCTTTGAAATTTAACCTGTTCCTACAGTGTTTAAAAAATATATACTCAAAAATTCTATCTTCAGAAGATATACAAGAAATACTTTGTTAGTTCAGACTTATAAATGTTTGAAAGGATAAATTTTTGTTCCCAGCCGCCCAAACCTGAACAATCACAGAGAAACTATATTAATTAGAACAATGTTTGGCTTTTTAGCTCAGGCTTCATATTAACTAACTTTTACATCTTAAATTAACCCATTTCCATTTACTCCCACGCGGCTCATGGTTTGTTACCTCTTGCTTCTTGGGCAAGAGGCATCTGCCTCCTTTGGCAGTTCCATAGTGTGTTTTTAACTCCACCTACTCTCTCTTTATATCTCTTCCAGCCTGGCTATAATCTGCCCTGCCATAGGCCAAAGTAGCTTTATTCATTAACCAATGAAAGCAACACATATACAGAAGGACATCCCACATCTTAGCATATTTTTATCACAGCATTAATTTTTTTCAGAATGAATGAGAATTGAGGTCTTTAGTTTGGTGATATCTGATAAAATCATAGCATTTGTGTCAGTTATCTGAGTTCAAGATCTGGATATGTTCTACTTAGATCTATTAAGTTTGAAATATAGATTAACTCAAAATATCCTTAGGATTTTATGAAGTTGGAATCAGTGGTAACTCAGCTCCTCCTTTTGAGTTGATTAATGGTGTTTCCTAATCATTAGTGTAATGGATGTTAGTATAGGAACTCTTTACTGGCATTCCCAAATAATTCAGCTGTGTTTGAGAGAGCATACCAAAACCAGGTATAGCTTTATATATTAAAAAAACAAAATGTGTTTTGAGTTTGAGTTTATAAATGAGATTCAGGCATATAGCCTCTTAATCTCTTATAGTTTTAAATGAGCAAACTTCCTATGTATTTTATGTACATAGTTTAAAAGATTTGTAGGCTGCATTTTGTCAAAGTACAATCATAATCGTCTTCCAGTGTCACATGTAATATATATTTTGGTTGTTTTTTTTTTTTCAAGACAGGGTTCTCTGTATAACAGAGCTCTGGCTGTCATAGAACTCACTCTGGAGACCAGGCTGGCCTCAAACTCTGAAATCTGCCTGTCTCTGCCTCCTGATTAAAGACATGTACCACCACCACCTGGCATTCCAGTGTCATTTTAAAAGAACTAGAAATAGCCCAGCGTTCAGGAGACAGGCATAAGAATCACAATTCAAAGGCAGCATGGGATACACCTAGCAAGAGCCTAACTCCAAATAATATCATACTATTTTTCCCATTAATAAAAACAGTTTTAAGATAAAGTACAAATACTAGCAAAATTAGTGGCTCACATGTATATGAAAACAGAAGTATGTGAATGTAGTGTTATTGTGGTAGCACACATATCAGTTGTATAGAAGATATATACATAGCACAGGATGAAGTAATTATATTAGACCTGTGGATGTCCATTTAGTTTATTTTGATGGTGCTATGGTAGGTGAAATGCTTAGATGTAATTGGTAGCTGTGTGACTTTGGACATCTGGTTTAGCTCTTGAGAGTAAGAGTCTTTTACTTCATTTATCACATATATGAATGTGGTAATGGTTCAGCAGCTTAATTGAGGTGTGAGTATGCGTAGTACCTAACACAGTTTTGGGCAAAGGAGGAAACTATATGTTCTCTTTTGTATATCCATAACTACTCCATTTCATCAAGACAGAATTATAGTAGATTGTTCCTTTTGAATTTGTAAATAACTACAATATAGGATTAGACTGTTACCAAAGAGGAAAGAGAGATTATATCTGTAGTCTTGCATTGAATATAGAGGATGTTTAAAGTTGTTTTCACCAGAAAGCCTGTTGCAGTAAATCAGCCTAATTGAGTTCTCTTGCTGTGTTTATACTTTTAGTAAATGAGAGAATTCTGTTTGGGGGAGGTATGCCATAGCAATGGGAATTCTGGGTTTGTTCAGAAAGTATTTTTCCCTAAGGTCTGCTAGGCAGGAGTTCAGGGGAGATGTAATCAGTATTTCATGAGTTTTGTAGAGTCTCACCTACTGATTTATCTGTTTTTCACAAGCCCTCTTTAGTATGTACACCAATTTATCTTCCTTAAAAATTTGCTTTTTCTTTATACACTTTTACAATGAGTTTGTTTAGTCACCAGTACTTAGGGTAGTCAAGGTATTTTCTTAATGGAAACATGCTAAAATCCCAGTTTTCTGTATGCTAATTTATACTTTTATTAAAATCAACATTTATGAATATATAAGGACTATACAGGAAAAACCAACCGGGAAGACTTAAGGTAGGTTTTCTGTATATACTTGGTATTCATATAAAGAAGAGTAAAGCAGAAATAATTAATAACAGATTTAAATTATGAATCCTGGTTTAGTAGCTTGAGTTCTGGTCTCTAACCACTGACCAGACAGAAAGAGCTCATGGTAGAGGAGTGAAGAAGCCATACACAGCAAGAATGTCAAAACTGTGGCTCTGATTACAAGATCCATGAATCCTTCTACAAGAAGATCTTTTGCTAGATTCTTATTTAGACTAGCTGTAAGCAACTTTTGACTTCCCTTTTCACCAATTTTGCCTCAAATTAGGAGGTAGAATAAGCATATAGCAGCACTTCTGTCATGGTTTGTATAAATGCTTTACGTTTCATGGCTGAGTCCTTGGACTCTGGTATGCCACATACATAGGTTTAGAGAATTATTAGTGCTTAATTTGTAAATTCTTACTTTACACTGATGTTTCGTGGTGACTAAAAGCAATCATGCCCCAGTTTTGTATATAATTGAATTTTATAATGAGGCAAACAATCAAGTGGTATTTATTACTAGTACTTGATTCTTCTAAGTTTCAACAGATGTTACTGGAAAGTATTCCTAAGCTTTTTCATCCGATTTTGGAATTATCTGGAAGCCCGGCGGTGGTGGCGCACGCCTTTAATCCCAGCACTTGGGAGGCAGAGGCAGGCGGATCTCTGTGAGTTCGAGACCAGCCTGGTCTACAAGAGCTAGTTCCAGGACAGGCTCCAAAACCACAGAGAAACCCTGACTCGAAAAAACCAAAAAAAAAAAAAAAAAAAAAAAAAGAAAAAAAAAAAAAAGAAAAAGGAGTTATCTGGAAGTGTGCTTTACCTATAAATATGCTACTCTGAATTGTCACTAATGCAAAGAAATAACATTCTGTTAGTAACATTGACATGAAGAATTTTTGTTCCTTTTAGATATTATGATAGCTTCCTAAGCTCCTTTGAAATTTAAGAAAATATCATTTGCGGATGTGCCATACACAATTCTAAAATTAGTTCCTACGTATAAATAAGGAAATGTGAATCAGAGCTAGATAAGTATTGGCATTGTCAAATGAGAAAATACATTTGTTATCTTTCTTTTTTGTAATTCCTTTTATAGAGCTTTCCAGAATGGTAAATACCAGCAAGTTTAAAGCATACACTCTTAGGTGAAATAAGAGGTTCTCTTTGAATTACTTTAAAATTTCAAAATTATTCCATCAATTCACAAGTATTAATCAATTGTAGTAACTGACCAAAGGAGTTTAAATAATGACCTAATCAAAGAGACTAATTTATAATTAAACTATCTTCTTAAAAACTTCTGTTATTAATACTATAATCCAGTATGCATATATGAATGTGTAAGATAGTTAATAGTGGAATGTGCTTGTAGGATTTGAGTATATCTTCTTAAAGCCAAACATGAATTATTTATTTTTTAGGCAAAGTAATAGGAAAAAATGGAAAACTGATTCAAGAGATTGTGGACAAGTCAGGAGTTGTGAGGGTGAGGATTGAGGCTGAAAATGAAAAAAATGTCCCACAAGAAGAGGTATGTAATAGTGCTTATGTTTCTGGTTTGTCTATTTTATTTGACTTCCTAATGTAGGAGCCCCTGAATTATACCCATACATTTTTTTTTCCTTTTTGTGATTCTGAGAATCAAAACAGGACTTTGACCTACTGGGCATGTGCTCTAAAACTGAGCATGAATGTAAATGTTCTGATTATCAGACATGCATGATACTATAGACAATAGACATATCTGGTTTGGTTTGGTTTGGTTTTTGGTTTTTCAAGACAGTTTTTCTGTGTAGCCCTGGGTGTCCTGGAACTCACTCTCGCTCTGTAGACCAGGATGGCATTGAATTCAGAAAGATCTACCTGCCTCTCCCTTAGGAGTGCTGGGAATAAAAACATGCACCACCATCACCCAATGTCTATATGTTTTCTAATGCTGGACTTTAGTCATTTTAACCTATATTTGTCTTATTTTGTAATGTTATAAAGGGTAGTCATGAAAACATATCACTAGGTTAGCCATTAATGACAAGTAAATAATATATATATATATAGAAAGCCTTTTTGTAAATGCTTTTGTTTGAAGGTTGGGTAATAAGTGTGTTCATTCTGCGTGTGCTTTTTCTGCACATAAGATCGCTTCCCCTAGCATCCTATTTGACTTTTATAACCCTCATTCTTATCTACCTGAATATATGCTTATTGGTAGTTGTTGAAGTGTTTATATGGAGCGTGGGAAGGAAGAACATGACCCTTGATGCAGTTGTACTCCCAAGATGCTATCTACTTTATCTTTAAATTAAAAAAGTGCAGTTTCTTATCTTCTATCTAAAACTACTCTTACTTTCCTGCCAATTCACTGTCTGTTTTAGCTATGTTGCTTCAGCTAAACATCTTTAATACATTTTACAAAATGAAATGAGTGTCTGTATCTGAATTAAAAATAATTCATGTGAAATGCAACCCTCTAGAGGGACTATTGTCAATTAGTGGTCATTGTGAAAGCCTGTCCTTTTTTTCAGTGCTGTAGCCACAGATGAGTTGTCTGTGCTCCATCGAATAACCCCCTTCCTGTACTCAGGCAGGTAGCTCTTCTAAACTCAGTGGATCAACACACTAAAAGAAGACAATGTCAGTAGGTGACTTTGAGAAAACAGTTTCTATTGGTGCAAGAGTGAAATGCAAAATAGGAGTATGGGCGATAGTGACTTAAATGTGTCATATCAATTCATGAAGTAGTCAAACAATAAAAATTCAAAAAAAGATACTATCCACACACAGGGTCATAATGTACACATTAACTAGCTAGCCTTCTTTTGCAAAAGATAATTTTAATTGAAGTTAAATCCACTTAGTGTTTTTTAAGATTTATTCTTATCTATTAAAATGTGTGTTGTATGTGTGTGTGTGTCAGGGAGAGAGAGAGAACATTGGAGAGAGAGAGAGAATGGATCCCCTCAAGTTGGAATTGCAGGCACTTGTGAGCTGTCTTATATGGGTGCTGGAAACCAAAGTACATGCTCATAACTTCTAAGCCATCTCCTCTAGTCCCTGATTTGGCTTTAAATTGCATAATTTTTGCCCCTTATATTTTTATGTGTCAAAACACTTCATAGTAATCTGTATTCTTAAACATCATCCTTAATGGGAAAAGGTGAAATTTAAACATTTTGATTGTTCCTAATATGTTGAATTATAAGATATCTTTATAAATAATTAAGTGGCTGTGCTTAAGAAAAAGAAGTCATTGACACAGTACTGGAACTAAATAATTTTAAAATTGGTACTTTTTTATCTTTTGTGTTTTATGTTTTTATCAAGGAAATTATGCCACCAAATTCCCTACCTTCCAATAATTCAAGGGTTGGACCTAATTCCTCTGAAGAAAAGAAACATTTAGATACAAAGGAAAACAGCACCCATTTTTCTCAACCTAACAGTACAAAAGTCCAGAGGGTAAGAATTAATTTGTCACCTCTAACCACACTAAAAGTAGTATCTTTGGCTCAGATGCCACATTTGGTATTTGAGCTTTTTTTTTTCTCTGGTTAGATTTGTAGGCTACTCATAATTCTATATTTTCACATAAGATTGATACCATATAAGATTACAAACCAAAGTAATGGATATTTTTTGATTTATTCACAGTGACAAATCTTAAGCTGTAAACCTAATGGGGTCACTTTTTTCTGTTGAGGGTGGACTTTTTTTTTCCATGCTGTAACTCCTTAAATTTTGCAGGTGTTGTAAGTCAAAGTGTACCTTCTTTTAGATATGCTAGTTACTTCTTAAAGTCATATTTTAGAAACTGGTTTTCACTATTAGAACTAACTTAACTATTTAGAAATGCGTTTAGAAGTCCTGCAGTGAAAGTCCTGCGTTCAGGCTTCTGTGTATCGTTCATTATAGTTAATCACATCACCTGCATTCCTTATACTGCTTTAGGTGTTAGTGGTTTCATCAGTTGTAGCAGGGGAACCCCAGAAACCTGAACCCAAGGCTTGGCAGGTAGGAAACCATTCCTTGAAAAATACATTTTAAGTTGATATTTTAATGTTTATTCCCCTTGTTAAGAAAGACTATAAATGAGCCTCATGGTTGGGGGCTGGTGGAGGAATGTTTGTGGGTATTTGGATCCACGGCCCTGGTCTAAATCTCAAACAACTTCATTCCACTTAGAAGGTTTCCCCTTACTTGTCCAGTGTCGTTTCCCACCAGTCTTCCCCCTGTGTCTCCTAGGAAAGGTCTTGGAATTCTCTGAAATTTATCATAATCTTTGCTGCTTTTCGATGTGTGCACTTGAAACCCAAGTGTGAGTTTATTCTACCTGGACTGTTCTTTCTCCTGCATTTGCCATATCACTTTGACCCTGTTCTGTGTGAAACGTTCCTCGTCTACCTACCACAGGTCTCCCACCTGCTCCATGCTCCTATATGCTCAACCAGAGCATAATGTTATTAGATGTTTTCTTGTTGGTTTCCCCAACCACACTGTAAACTCATCGAGCTCAGGGTCCCTAACCTGGCCTTTGAGAATTGCTTACAATAAGGATGGTATGAATTAGAAGGGACTAAATGCAAAAATGCCATTTTATACAGAGAACTATAACTACAAGTGGATCAGATACTTCTTTCTGCTGTGTATTCCACTTCTCAGAACAGAGAATGACTTTGTCCTAGTATTGGTATTATATTTTTTTTCAGTTTATTCAGATATTCTGATGGGGCACTTAAAGTACTTCATGGGTACTTCAGTTTGTACCATATCATAAGAGAAAATAGTTTTAAATGATGTTTTTCAGATTCAGCCTAATTAAATCTACAACACAAAAATTTAAAGCCTATTTTGCTAATTACTTGGAAAGCATGTAATACTCCATCATGTGATATTTGACACTTGGAAATAATACAGCTGATGCCTCTGTGACTGTGCTAGTGAGAAACAGAATAATATACAATTTGATGGGGCTGAGGGTTGATTTTTATGTATTGTAGTACAGAAGAGAAAATCAATCCTTACAGGTTTACAACGGTACTTGATAGTTCAGGTAGTCATTGTTTCTAGGAGGCAGTGCCTTGCCTACTAGTTGATAATCAGCCTACAAGCAATATTTTCTGATGGTTCAGTTTTGTTCTTCATCAACAGTAACATTTCATGTACAGGTATAAAGAAAATTATGTGTCCTTCCCTTCCTATCTTGAACATACTGTATACTGAATGCAGGCAGGCAAAAGGATCCCAACAATTTCTACATGTACCAAGAAAAATGTTCTTTAGAAAAGAATGGCACTTTCCTCAAGGGACAGCTTCTTGGCCTCCTATACCTTTTAGCTTTGCCAAACATAACCTGTAATACTTTTCATTAGTAATATGTGAATACCAATAACCATGTATATTTCTTCAGTAGCATAATAACTGTACTGTTCTCAACTTAGAATGTGTCTTAATTGTCCCCTCTTTGTGCACCTGTAGCTAGGCCTCCCTACTGGTTGTGATGTGGATTTTTTTTGCTTCTTTTATGCTGATGAGTATAAGTATTTAGACTGTACCTTTAAAGTTATCCCTATATTAAAGTGGTATACATAGAGGAGTAAAGGTTTTCTCATGATTGAATTTTGTAAGACTTTCATAATATATTTTTGAAATTTATATGGACTTATGCTTATAATTTTGATTTTTGTTGTTCTTGTACAGATTATGTGGTGTGTTTTAATTTATTCTAATTTTCAGTCATGGTTTGAATTCTGTTGTTTGGTTAGCAAATTGAGTTTGTTTGTTTTTTCATTTGCGTCTCTGGCATCTGAATTTAAACTAGATTTGATTTAGATATAACTTATAGTAAATTGATCAAAACATAAGTATTCTTATTTACACTACACATCTCATTAAAGCATATATAATTTTTAGTATGTTTGTTATTTTGCCAACATTAAATGATAGTCTTTTAAAACCTTACGGTTTTTAAGGAATCACTATATTGATCTGCCCTTATTCAGATGTAAAACCTGGTTTTACATATTGATTTATATTTTAAATAGATGTTTGTTTGCTTGTTACTTGGCAGACCCTATGGTACAGATTAAGTGTGAGTGTGTGTGTGTGTTGTGTTGTTTTGTCATTTTTTTTTAGATTAATCATCACTAGTTCTTTAGGTTTACTCTTCCAATTTCTTTTTCAGGGAATGGTACCATTTGTTTTTGTGGGAACAAAAGACAGCATCGCTAATGCCACTGTTCTTTTGGATTATCATCTGAACTATTTAAAGGTAAGAACAGGATGTCTTTTAACTTCTAATCTTCTTGTGCTAAGTTATTACAAACTGTATAGTAAATCTTTCCAAAACTATGATCTCTCTGAGCTATGCATAACAATGTATGATCTTGTAAAAAGTAATAAATATTCACATTGTTTTAGTTCATTTCTTGATTTTATTTTTTGTAATTTTTTTCATTGTAAATCTTAGGGCTAATATCCCAGTTTTAATATATTCCTATATTTATGGTTATTCTTCTGTTAAACCTTTAGAGTCAACTTAGGGGTGTGTGTGTTTGTGTGTGTGTGTGTGTGTGTGTGTGTGTACAAAAAAAGCTAGAAGGTTCAACTATATTAAGAGGTATATTAAGAGGATATATATTTGTGTGTATATATCCTCTTTGTGTGTGTGTGTGTGTATACATAATCTTCAATATAGTTGAACCTTCTAGTTTTTGTGGATGTTTTCAATCTAAATTTTGTGTCTATAGCACTTGCATTTGTTGTCCCTCTTATGTCATTTATTAAGGAAATCCTAGCATGTCATTATCTTCTGTTTAAATGTTTACCCTTCATACTTTTCTCTATATTATGTTAATCAAAATAGAAACTACTGTGTCTTATTGTATATGCTCATCTTACTGTTGTTACTGTTATGCCTCCTTTAGTTTGCAAGCTGGGAAGTAGGAACCCGGAGGCTATTAGTGAAAAGAGCACGGGATTGGCAATACAACTATGAACTATGTGACTTTAGGCAAGTCACTTCCCTACACTAAATGCTTTTTCAAATTCCCTTTGGCACAAATGTCATAAAATTTAATGAAATGAAATCTTAACTGTTTTCATTTTTATAATGTCTTATTTCTGAAAAAATACCTAATACCAGAATTATTACATAGGTCTTTTAAAAAAATCTATAAAATAAATCTAAGTTCTATTTCATTTATGATACTATCTCAAGACGTGTTTGCTGACTTAAAAGAATAAAATGTGAATGAGTCTGCTAGTAAGAATGAAAGGAAAAACGGTGCAGTACCTGGTCATTTTGTTCATTCTTAATCGTGGTCAGTTAATAAGTAAATGTGGGAAGGTTTCATCCAGCAAGGTTTGCATGGGTAGGATGCCACTTTGATTTGCTTATTTATTTTTTGTTGGACAGTGTGTTTTATGTGCAATCTGTTGTATGTGTTTTCATTTATAACGTTAGCTAAAATAATTACTAGATAGAAAGGACTGCATTGTATCATGTCCTTGTTTTTTTCAATTAATGCTCTTTCTTAGATATTTTAATTTATTTTTCTCTATTAAACATCTTGTCTGATTATTGGCAGCTGTCCCGTTGCCATGCTCTCCATCACCAAATCATCTTTTGGTTGGGTCTGGCATCTCACCAAAACTAACTGCTTTGCCTAAGTAGAATAACCCTGGAATTCATTTTGTTATTCAATATCTAGATAACACATTCCATGAGCTAGAAATATACTTTTAGGGAGAGCCACTCACTTAGCTATAGCCTTTCCTTTTCCCTACCCAGTTTATTAAAGATTCTGGTTTAGAGAACAAGTAAAATTCACTGTGAATTTGTTCTTAGTCTGACTCTTTTTCTTTCCCAGATGTCAGAACGAAGATTTTGACAACTTAGATTTTGTGGCCTCTTCTTGACTGATACACTGAATATTTGCTGTAGTTAAAGATCTAGCTAATAAGTGAGATGCTCATGGGTATGTTAGAAAGTCAAGGGTTAATATGAAGTTTCATCTGGATTTAACAGAATCCAAATTATTGCACACACTGTGTTTAAGGATCTGTCAGTGGATTTTGGAGTTGATTTTATTTTGTTCAACTCAATTCATATTTGTTATATTTGTTTAAGCAGAGTTTTAGTATTTTAAGAGGTATTCAAGGCATGATGTGAGTTCTAGGTAATTTGATGTGAGACCTAGGGTTCTCCCCCTTAATATAAAGGAATATTAGCACTTTTAGTTCATTCAAAATAAGTGGTCCTTAATACATGTTCTTTAAAAAATACCCAAGCATAATACTTTGTAAATTAAATTATCTGAAAAAATAATTTTATTTAGCTCATTTATAATGTGTGATTATTTTAAAGTTAGTTGATTAAACCTTAAATGTATGTCATTTATCTTTATTTTCATACTTTTTAGTATTGTTTTAGTCAACCTTACATCAAAAAGTCCCCAAACTAACATATCTCTGCCTTATCCATAGACTAATTGAATAGTAGTGCCAAATCACTCAACCTTAAATTTATTCAATATAACTTTAAAAGTGAGTGTTTTTGTTATACCTCTAAGTCTTACCATCAGTAAGTGTATCAATAGTAATTTTCTTTTTAAGACCATTCAATTTCCTGATAATTCTGTGTTAACAGTGTTTACTATAAATTTAGAACTGAAAGTCAAATATTTCCAGTATACTTTTTATCTGATGAAAAGGAGAAAGGTATTACTAAGTAAAATGTCAAATTATTTTTACTGTTATCTTGTATATTTTAAATAGGAAGTAGACCAGTTGCGTTTGGAGAGATTACAAATTGATGAGCAGTTGCGACAAATTGGAGCTAGTTCTAGACCACCACCAAATCGTACAGATAAGGAAAAAGGCTATGTGACTGATGATGGTCAAGGAATGGGTCGAGGTAGTAGACCTTACAGAAATAGGGGGCACGGCAGACGCGGTCCTGGATATACTTCAGGTACAAACTAAGCATTTTCCTCAGTAACTTTATCTGTTCCTAGACTTAATAGCTGCTAATTTCTACTATTCATTAGAACTCCATTATAACAATTTCTCACTACATGGTTTCCAACTCACAGTGGGTCAAATTGTGTTTCAAGAGACATGTAGAGTGAAAGCCTGCTAATGACACACATAGTTCACAGGGCAGTTGTGAGTTCTGTCCATATTCTTATTGGGGATAAATCTGCTTACACCCTTTTGTGTTGATGACCTAAGACCTCTCCTGATTTTATTACTGTATAGCCAAACCTTTTTTCATTTGTGTACTGTGGCTCATTTTTTGTCAGGCATGTGCTGGTCATACTTGCTGGATGGACTGTGTAAAAGGGGTCTGCATCCTGTGGCTCATAAGGTGATTTTGAGTGGCATGGCCAAAGTCAGCCCTAGGCACAGTCAAGAAGTAGGCGAAGTGTCTCTTTGCCTTCCCAGCTCTTCTGTCCGTGCTTCTTTCTTTTCTCCCAGTAACTTTCAGTGAACCCAGTGCCCACCTAGGAGTTCCTACTGTCTTTCTTGCTCAACTGTGTATCTACTATGTAACTTGCTAATGATGGTATAAGGTATAATCCATCTCACCAATATTTGCATTTCAAAAGGGAACTCTTTAAGATGGAAAAGCCTTCAAGATCCACAGGAGTGACGCTATAATGGTGAAGCTATAATTGGTCATTAGCTCCAACAGAGGAAGAGAGAGAGGTAGTAGAGTTGATATTTCAGAGTGGGGAGAGACACCTACTCTTAACGCTAGCCTTGAACATAACCTTAACCCTTCTCCCAACAGTTCTTTTGACCAATAAATTTCCACCTCACTATGGAGATCTTTTTCCCCCACTCCCAATCCCCTATGTCATTAAACCTCAGACATAATGAGATGTTTTATAGTGAGCCTTTGTTCAGTCAGTCCACTGAGAGTGGGAGGGAAGACTGTGGGTCTTGCATCAGGAATGCATATCCCCTTTTATTGGGGATAATCCCACAAGAGATTCCTCCCTGAGACATAAATGTCATGGTGGCCGTTATTGGCCCCTTTTAGAGTTGGCCAAAATGTATACATTCTTCTGTCCCTGTACTTAATATTAAAAGCTGTCATTATTCAAGTTTTGATTATCAAAGTATTGTGTTAAAGACAATTTTCCCTTCATGATCACGGTTATTTAAAGACATGGCACATTCAGGTCTGAACTTAGATAGCTAACAAAACACCTTTTCTTTTAAAAGAAATATTATAACTAAAATAACTTTAGATATGGCAAGCCCTTCATTTTGAATTTAAAATTACTTGTTTTTAAACATAGAAGATGAGTATATTCTTTGGTAGGCTTCTAAATTGGGAAGAATATTGAATTACCCCTGAAACTTCATCTCTGGAAGCTTCTGTTAACCTCTTTTTAAAATCAGACAATGGTATATAACTTTTAACTCTCGATAGGAACTAATTCTGAAGCATCAAATGCTTCTGAAACAGAATCTGACCACAGAGACGAACTCAGTGATTGGTCATTAGCTCCAACAGAGGAAGAAAGGGAGAGCTTCCTGCGCAGAGGAGATGGACGGCGGCGTGGCGGGGGAGGAAGAGGACAAGGAGGAAGAGGAAGAGGAGGAGGCTTCAAAGGTATAGTGGTTTACATAACTGAAAAGTAAAGGTTAAGGGCCAGTGTGGTGGCTCAACAGATAAAGGTACTTGGCTTCCAAACCTGAAACCCTAGTTCAATCCCCCACATGGTGAAAGGAATGAAGTGACTCTTAAATATATTATCCTCTGGCTCTACATGTAAGCTGTGGTATATGTACCCCAACATATACCCACCCAAAAATAAATTAATAAAAATGTAATATTTTTAAAGAAAAATAAAGATTAATGGTATACTGTTAACTGTTTGAAGCTGAATAAAAAGTAAATCTTGCTGATATAACCTGTCTTGTACTTATCTTCATAGCAAATGACACCTTCTTTATGATTTTTGGAATCTATGAATAAATAATGATAACTGGTTCATACTATTTGGGGTTTCTAATCAGCATCTGATTCTTAATCCAGATTGACCTATTGATTCATAAAATAATACCTTCAGAATATTTTGGGTTTTTTGTTAGGAGAATAGATTATTATTAACTGTTGTATATTTGGAATTGGTAGACTTTCCATTACATTTTAGCTTCTATTATTGGCCTAAATGGGGAATCTGAAAATAAACAATTTAAAGCAAATGGTTTAGAGTCACTAACTGTTGACATTCTGAAAATATTTATACAGGAAATGATGATCATTCCCGAACAGATAATCGTCCACGTAATCCAAGAGAAGCTAAAGGAAGAACAGCTGATGGATCTTTGCAGGTAAAACTTAGGTGATTCTTTTCATCTAAGTAGTTTGAATGTGGCCATTTGAAAGTTGAGCGGTTATTTTACTTTATTTTTAAACATGTTCAAAGATAATAAATTTGTAGTATATTAAATTTTTTCTGAAGTGGTACAATTGTGGACAGTCTTAGTACTTTGAGACAAATATGCAAATATGAGGATTTCTCTAGAGAATATGTGACCTTAAATATTTGTGAATACTTTGGCATCCACATTATAATTTTAAGACCATGTTGGTGGTTCTCTAACTCTCTTTAAAAAAAAGAATATTCTAAAGGAAATGTTCTAAGTGACTAAAGTCAGCTACCCTTTCCTTTTTAAGTGCATGGATAGCATATTATCTTTATCTGTCTCATAGTCATGATAAGATAAGACATAAAGTATCTAAATATTTTCCATGCCCCATGGGTCAGCTATTCATTTACATGCACAGTCTAGTCTGAGAACCCCTTTTCAAGTAGCTTTGTCAATGCTTAACCAGTTGCTAAGTGATTTCAAATTTACTCCCTGAACACATCTAGGCACCTTTACTAAGTACTTCATCTGTATTTTATCTCACCTAATCTTACAGTAATCCACTGAGATAAGAAGTTTATTATCTAATTTATAGGTAAGTAAACAGAAGCTGAGGTTCAGTGCCCACAATTATTTAGCTAGCATATGGTGGAGTATTATTCATTCAAACATTGGTATATGATTCTCAGAATTCATGTTCTCTTTCATTTTATCTGTAATTGTTAACTCTAAATTTTTAAACCAAGAAATAGAGTTCTGACTAGAAACCAGTATACATTCTTAGCTAATTTCAACTCAAATTTTTTATATTAGAACCTTCTTTAGAATTCATACCAAATCTAAGGGAGTGTTAACTTAATGGTAGTTTCTAAAGAACTAGAATAAAAAAAGACTAGTAGTGTTCAGCATTGACACTTAAAATAGTTTATGTCCCTTAGAATGTTATTTTTAAATTACATTAATTTTTATGCCTTTCTAGGATTCTAGTTCTCCAAATCATTGTTTCCAGATTTCCTCTTCTCATTCTATTTTTCAGCACTCAAGTTATAGGGCCATCTTATTCTTCCTGAAGTACAAGTTCCTAGAATTCAGCACCTACAGTTTTTCTACAGTTGATACAGACTGATGATACAAAGACCAGAAATTTATGCTAGAACATTATTTAGAATTTTAAAATGTCTTTTTTATTTATTAAATGTATTTATTTTATGTGTATGAGTATATAGGTGCATCAGGCATTGGATCCCCTGGAACTGGAGTTACAGGTAGTTGCGAGATACCATTGGGCACTGGGAACTGAACCCAGGTCCTCTACAAGAACATCAGGGGCTCTTAACCACTGAGCCATCTTCCCGTCCCCCATTATTTAGACTTTGAAGCAGCTACAAAGGAAGTTTCTAGAGGATCAGATGGAGATTTTGGTATAGAAAAGCTTATTATACTGATGACAGAGTAAAAGGTGGGAACTAAAGTTAGTTCATGAATGGGTTGGTTGAGTTCATTCTGGTGAAACTGTAATAAGACATTATTTTGTGTCTCTCTTAGTTTTCCCACATTCATTTTGAAATACAATGATATTGTGAGTTGTGCTGTGTATGTGTGTATATATGGTATGCTAGATATTCTGCATATAGCATATATATCTTCTAGTAGCCAGTAATAGTAATGTTATAAATGACCTCACTATTTTTGTTTGCTTAGAAGAATATAAAATGGGAGAATATAAACTTCAGGCCTTTTTTTCTTAGATTTGACACAGTGTGATGACCACTGTTTTCCAGCTAAGGAACAGTGTTTTGAAAACCTAAATCAATAAAGAGGCTACCATGCTTTAATAGAGTTCTGTTTTTATTTCCATATCCCCTTCTATTAAGATTGAGCCTCACTTATATATCTCTGGCTGACCTAGAACTCAGAGGTCCATTTGCCTCTATTTTCCCTTTAACATGTGTAAGTCCCATTTCAGACTTCCATTATTGTCAGGCCATTCACGTAGGATCTGGTGTGTGTGTGTGTGTGTGTGTGTGTGTGTGTGTGTGTATATATATATATCAACTATAACTTATTTTAGATTAGAGTTGACTGCAATAATGAAAGGAGTGTCCAAACTAAACCATTACAGAATGCCTCCAGTGAAGGTAACCGGCTGCGCATGGGTAAAGATCGTAACCAGAAGAAGGAGAAGCCAGACAGTGTGGATGGGCAGCAACCGCTCGTGAATGGAGTACCCTAAAATGCATAATTCTGAAGTTGTATTTACTCTACCATTTCTGTAATTCTTATTCCATTTTAGAAAACTTTGTTAGGCCAAAGACAAGTAGTAGGCAAGATGGCACAGAGCATGAAATGAACACAAATTCTGCAAAGAATTTTTTGATATTGGCCATAAAAAAAACAATCTTCCAGATTTGCACAAAATGATCTTGAAATTTGAAGTGTAACTTTTAAGTACACTTAAAACTTCAGGGCAGGATTTTACTTTTTAAAAAAAAATACTAAGCAGTGGTCTTTATTAACTAGGACCATTTTCCTGCATTGGGCTATAACTCAGCAGTACATTTCAGTTTTTCTGAGTAAATCACATTTGTGGTAATCATACTAGATCTCTGTCTTCAGTCTCATTTAAAGTCTCCATGAAATTCTGTGCCATTTTGTGTCCTGTGTCAGTTTATGTTTTGGTCCACTTTCCAGTATTTTAGTGGACTCTGAAATGTGTGTCTTGTGACATTTGTCATTTTCATTAGCAAAAAAAAAAGTTGTATGATCTGTGCCTTTTTTATATCTTGGCAGGTAGGAATATTATATTTGGATGCAGAGTTCAGGGAAGAAAAGTTGGAAACACTAAATGTTAAAGATGTAGCAAACCCTGTCAAACATTAGTACTTTATAGAAGAATGCATGCTTTCCATATTTTTTCTTTACATAAACATCAGGTTAGGCAGTATAAAGACTAGGACTTGTTTTTTTTTTTTGTTTCTGTTTTGTTGCACTGAAGTATGACAAATAGTGTTATTGGAAGGGATGTGTAATTTTTCTGTATAGACAGGAAAAGAAATAACTATCTTTTCATTTGGGAGAGGCTAAAAATGTTTTCAGCTACTTGCAAATCTTCCTGGTCAAAAGTTAGGATATGCCTGCTCTTTGGCCTGATGATGAATTTCAACTTAGAGACTTTTTCTTTTGTCCTCCCTAAATTTTGTTTTTCATTCATATTTTATGTTAAAGCTTATTTTGGAAAGATATGAAGGTCATTTTCATGAACACATAATAACCCTCAGAAATAGAGGTACTTTGTCTGAGAAACATTGAAAGCAGATTAATTTTTTTTGTAACTTTGAAATATGAAGTCTAATGTATAAGCAGAATTGAAAGCAGACATAGGATTGGTTAACAAGTAATTTTTTTTTCTTTTTTGATGTGTTGAGTCTTATTTTTGAGTTTTTTTTGCTTTTTTTAATGAATGAAATTTACTGAAGAAAAATATGTGAAGGACCTTCACTCTGAGATGTTATATTTTTCTTAAAAATAACTCCGAGTAGGGGTACCATTGAATCTGTACAGAGCCGTACAAACCGAAGTTCTGCCTCTGATATACTTTGTGAATTTGTTTCTTTCAATTTTCATTTTTCATTTACTTTTCCTTGCATACAAATAAACATATAAAATGGTAACAAACTGCACATGGTTTCACAAATATTAAAAGGTCTTTTAAAAAGTATTGCCAAACATTCATGTTGATTTCTAGTTATTTATTCTGGGAATGTATAGTATTTGAAAACAGAAATTGGTACCTTGCACACATCATCTGTAAGCTGTTCAGTTTAAAATACTGTAGATAATTAACCAAGGTAGAATGACCTTGTAATGTAACTGCTCTTGGGCAATATTCTCTGTACATATTAGCGACAACAGATTGGATTTTATGTTGACATTTGTTTGGTTATAGTGCAATATATTTTGTATGCAAGCAGTTTCAATAAAGTTTGATCTTCCTCTGCTAAATTGATGTTGACGCAATCCTTACAATGATTGCTTTTTAAATTTTAAGATAGGAAAGAAATCTATAGAAAGTATTCTGTTACAAAATGTAACTGTTACCATTGGAAATTCCACATTGTCATAGGAGGTTAGCTGTTATTTACCAACTTTCCAAAACATACTCTTCTTTAATAAAGTGAAAAACCAACAAATAGTACACACAGTCACAGTGTACTGTTAAAATATGCACTAAGTCTCTTTTTTACAATGGCTGAATTCAGCAAGGCGCTAACTTGCTTAAATGTGAATTACTAACTTCTAAAACTGTAATTTGATTCACATGTTTTCAAATGGAGTTGATTCATATTACAATATTTCTGTGCAAAATGTGTGTTTTTCAGTTTAACGTCATGTTTTTAAAGTCTTATTAATGTTTCAAAAATCTGAAGATTGTTTATCTTATCTAAATGTAAATTTTTATTAAAAAGTTGCACTTATGAAAAAGCAAAGTATTAGTCTTACAGCTATTTGCTCCTGTATTCAGTTTCTACATAAATGGCAAAAAATAATGTGTTGAGTCAAAGCAAATAATCATTTTACATGTTTGTGTGTGTGTGTGTGTGTGTGTGTGTGTGTGTGTGTGTGTGTGATGTGAATGAAGATACCCACAGAGATAAGAGAATCAGATCCCCTGAAACTGGAGTTACAGGTTCCTGTGAGCCACCATATGGGTTCTGGAAACTGACCCAGGTCTTATACAGAGCTGTAATTGCTCTTAACTAACTGATAAGATATCTCTCTACCCCTTTATCAGTGTGACCAGATATCACACTAACTAAAGCTGGCTTGGAATGGCTCACCTCAACTCAAACTCATGGTAGTCCTTTTGCCTTTCATCGCGAATGTTGGGATTTAATATCGACGTGATCCTGGATTTTATGTTCTTTAAAAAAAAACAAAATTGAAAGTCTGTGTGATTTCTAAAGACAGAAAGGAGGCAAGTTGGGTGGGCAAGAGGTAGAAAGGGTCTGGAGGGAGTAGGGATAGGGAAAACCATTGTCAGAATATAGTGTATGAAAAAATGTTTTTGATAAATGTAAAACAAGAAAATACATAAATTTTCTATTCCATGTTCTCATAAAATTTCAGTATGATAAGGCATAGGATTCCAGTAAACTGTATTAAACATTAACTCATGGCTGTGAACACATCAGTATACCCTGACAATTGGGGGTGGGGAGTAAGCAGGTCTTTGTAATTTAAAAAAGCTATTTAACCATTTTTATTTCATTGTGTGTGTGCATGTGGAAGTTAGAGTACAACTTTCTGAAATTGATTATTTTCGTGGTGTGTCCCAGTGATCAAACTCAAGCCCCCAGGCTTAGTGGGAAGGACATTTCCCTCTCAAGAAAACAAAGCAAAATTAATTTGTCAGAGATATTTTTGCATGAATACAATCACCCCAGATTCCTTTCCTTCTTACTCTTTCTATGGCTCACTAACACTTCCCTCCAAAGGCCATGTATTTTTTTAAACCCACTGATTGAACCCATTTAGTATTACCTTATGTCCATTGTTATAGGCCGCCTCCTGGATCATGGATAACCTATCAGGCACTGAATCCTTGAAGAAAACTTACACCCCCCCCCCGTCCCAGCAGTCAGGAACTGCAAAATTCATCAGCCAGGGAGGAGTGAAATGTCCACCATTGCTGGAATTTTGGCAATTTGATATGTGCCAATCTTGTGCATTTGGTCGGTCACTGTGAGTTCATGTGTGCAACGGCCCTGTCATGTCCAGAAAACACTCCACAGAAGTCCTTCCATACCTCTAGCTCTTAAAAGTCTTCCTGCCTTGGGGTGGAAGTGTGATAGAGATGTCCCAGCTAGAGCCAAGTACTTCTCAGTTTTGTTTACTGCAGTTTGACCAGTTGTGAGTCTATATTGACCACCATTTACTATACTACAAAAGCAAGCCTCTGATGAGAGTTGAGTATAAAGATAAATAGTTAAGGAACAGTTTAATACTGTTCATTTTTGAAATAATATCACTAGATTCTCTTCTACATTCTATGGTCTACTCAGTTCTGAAATAGCCATTTGCCAGGTACAAGTCTTGATTACTCAAAAAACTTAGCAGGCACAAGGATTTTACATCTTGGACATCTTTACTTCAGTGTGTATTGCTTGGACTATTATAAATACTTTTTATATTATGAAATTTTATGGTACTGGGAAAAGAAAATGTGGTATTTTGTTTGTTTCTGACAAAGGTTGCCTGGAAATCAGAGGGTGGAGCTAGCCACTAGTTAACTGTAGTTGGTGGCACACATCTTTAATCCCAACACTTGGGAGGATGAACCAGAAAAGACCAGGATTTCAAGGCCACCCTGGGCTACACAAGATTTAATGTCTAAAAGAAAAACAGCTCACACCTTTGATCCCAATACTAGGGAGGTTGATTTGGGTTTCCCCTCTGTGTGCTGTGAATACCATTGGTTAATAAAGAAGCTGCTTTGGGCATATTGCAGCACAGAATAGGGTAAGGCAGAAATTCCAAACAGAGAGAGGAGAGAGTAGACAGAGTGAGAGATACCATGTAGCTGCCGGAGGAGACAGACACCTGTACCTTACCTGTAAACCACAAGCCTTGTGGTGAAATATAAAATAATAGAAATGAGTTAAATTAAGATGTAAGTGTTGAAGGGGCTGCGAGCCTCTTCCCATAGCCCGGCTCCTGGCTGCCTGGCTAGCTTATACACCGAAATAACAACAGACAAATTGTATTCTTTTAAACACTGCCCGGCCCATTAGTTTCGGCCTCTTAACCCATTTCTAATAATCTATGTAGCACCACGAGGTGCGCTTACCAGGAAGATTCTAGCCTACGTCCATCCTGGGTCGGAGTTCATTGTGTCTGCCTCAGAGAGCAGAGCTGTCGAGTCTGAGCTCACTTCCTCTTCCTCCCAGCACTCTGTTCTGTTTACTCCTCCCACCTATGTTTTAACCTATGAGGGCCAGGCAGTTTCTTTATTATAATTAACCAATGACCTTCCTCCATCATGTAAGAGCCAGCTAGAAATACACTTAGACTATTAGCCAAACAATATTGCAAATAACAAAGTTTTTATGTGATTATTTTGGGTCTGGGTGGCCAGGAAACTAGCGAGCAGCCTCCACAAACAGATTGGCATACACTGTCTGGGGCATAGATCCACACAAGACTTAAAAATGCTTAAGAAAAAAAAGGCTTTTAGACCTACAGAAATAGAAGTAAATTGGTGCTAGTCGCATATTTTTATATAGGCTCTGTTTGCTGGCAAGAGGCAG